ATTTTATCAAGTTAAACATTTCACAGACGACTTCAGAAGAGGACAAAAGTATTGTGAGACATTCTCATCCCAATTTTCATTGTGCCTATACATAAACAAAGTACAAACATGCCCTTTGCAATAGAGAATTCATAAGCCAGATTTTCTGTAAACAAAATTAAGAGTTGCCTCTCCCTCCCTGCCTGCCTGCCTCCCTCATCATCAACAGGCATTATGGAAAGTTACCGCACACTAAGTTCATTTAGCTGTCACTATATTTCCAAAATGCTAAGATCCTTTTTTATAGGGTTTTTAAAGAAAAAAAAAGTAAAAATACTTTCAACGATACAACTGAACAGCCCATTCTTTAAATAGTTATAAGCACAGACTAACACTAAAATATTTTTATGCTCCTACAAGTCAAACTAACCAAGAAAATGAAGGATTGATTTGTCTTTTCTAAAATGTGCATTTTAAGAAATAATGTGTCAATGATGCAGCAATCTTAAGAAAAATTCACATTGAAAGGTCAAAAATTGACTTACTATCATGATTATCTAGAAATATTCCAAAAGTTTTATTCATGTCTTCAGTATTTGAATGCATTTGCTGATATCATAACACTGAGAATGACAATGTTATTATGACAATAGGTGATATTCTTACCTCTATATGGCCTTCCTATATAGCACAGCAAATGCTATTGATTATACCAATGAAAATTGTTTGTGTTTTGATCATCCAAAGACATAGCAACAATATTAAAAAGACAAGCATATAATATCCCAAGATGTCTCAAAGAAATCAGCTTTTGACCATCCAGGTCTTCAGAACATCATCTTAATAAAGGCATCTCAACAACTGTCAGCACTGCTTGTGTACTAAGATTCCACTTTAGAATTTTGACTAGAAATATCTAGGTTGTAGGATATTGTAGGTTATTACTATTTTCTTTCTATTGCAGTAGAAGTGCTTTTGTCTTCACTAGCTTCAGGTCTTTTAATTAAAGAAGTGTATTATTATTACTATTAAATTTATTAGTCAGATAGCAAATTTTTTGCACATATTTGAGCACAGAGTTTCATAACTGAAAGGCACCTTTGAGTATTGCACTTACTCCATTAAGTAACATTCTGTATACAGTATAGTTCCTGAAATTTGGGAGATGAACTATCACCCCTGGGAAACTATTCTGTCTCTAACACTGAAAAGGTCTCCTGACACTCAGCTTAAATATTGTATTGTTCAAATTAATTCTTTTACTCCTATATATATTCTTGTAACATGCCTTTCACAATTTCACTCTCTTCTGTGGGAATCACATGCTGTGTGAGAGCCAAATATCCTTTTCCTTTTTCCTCTTCCATTGTAACTTCCCTTCATTGCGTTTCATTGTGTGACCACTTACCTGATATGTATGTAGAAAGCACTAATACTAGCATTACCATGGATGGAGATAAAGGTCATTGAACATGCTCTAAAAGACTTTACAGTCCATGTGATTATTGGTGTTACATGTATTTCAGAAATTGCTATCACATGGTTAACTAAGTCTAACTTACATGCATAAAGTAAATGATCCTTTCCAGGAGTCCGAATAACACAGAAAGAATTACTGTATCTGAAAGTCACTGAAGGAAAAAAAAAGAAATTGTCTTTTATATATATATGTATATATATGTCAGATCACTTAACCTTGGATTAGCACGAGATTTGATAGGTTACATGTAAAATACATGAAAGAAAACAATTGTAAAGGTGGGATCAAAACCAAAGACCAAAGAAAGACCAAAGTTTTGCCAATGTTTTCTTTCACTGGCCACACAACACACTATTTTTACAGCTGCTACAGCTTGCTTCCTTTGTGAACCCAGAGTGAGAAACCAAGAGAAATGAGAACATTTGCTAAAAAAGAATAACTTGCAAAATGCATTTTCCTTTGTTCTTTTTGTTTTAATCAGACTTCATTCACCCTGATTCCATAAAATAACAGTATTAAGCAGCTGCTGATTCATAATCCCAGAATCATAGAATGGCTTGGGTTGGAAAGAATCTTAAAGACCATCTAGTTCCACCCCCATCCTCCCCCCCCCACCCCCCCATGGGCAGGGACATTACTATTTTGATTAGCTTAATTAGATCACAAGCAGTAACAAAATGTTGGCACAAGTATTCAGCTTAGAGCAGCAAAACTTGAGAGTGCCAGAGGGGAAAAAAACAAGCTTGTAAGAGTTATAGCCCAGTGTTACTCCCTCACGAACAGGCACTTACTCAGGATATGCAACATTAGGAACCAAAAGCAAGTCATTCCTTACATTGTCTTCAGTTCTCTGCTTGAAAAAATCACTAACCAATGTAATTAATCATCTAACTCTTCTTCAAGGTAAATGAAAGCAGTACAGCGCAAGGCATTTTTTTAAAATATGAAGGATGCATTGAAAAATTAATATATCAGCAACAGCATTGACTTTGGAGACTGCATCTATTTATTTTCTTTTTTTTAAGATTAACTGTAGCTGTATCTGTGGTATCTTTACATTTGGCTTTTCCAGATATTTTATTTGTTCTTGCTCTTCTTCCTGATCAATTACTAATTGAATCATAACAATCAATGATAAAATCAAACTATGAGCAAGTCCTTAGACAAGGTTGTGCCAGTCTGTATGATCATATATGTTAATATGATAAAACCCCTCCCCTCCTATTATTCATTTGGACCCAGTTTAAGACCTGAAGTCAAAGAAAAATTCCCCTCTGATTACTGGTCAGGACTATTTTAAGTCTGAATACTTTCCTGAAATTACATACCCATACCAGGTCCCTAAACCCTGAGATCTGTAAATTTTGGCAGAACAGGACCATTTAATTGTAAAAGAAAGTTTCAGTGTGCCTCAGCAGTGACCACGCTCTATGGTGGTGCAGCACACACCTAGAGCTCATACAGCACGCAAACTGTGAGGTCAACAACAATTTCCTCCATTATAAAAAATTAAGTTTGCCACTTGCACCCCTGGCAACATAGTGAAATTGCATAACTGATTCCCAAGTGGATAAAGCTTAAACTCAATTATCTGATTTTTTTTCTGGGGTTCAAAAGCAATCTGCTTTAAATGAAAACATAATGCTGCAATACCACGTTAAGGACCTGATCTGGCTCTTACCCATGCTTAGGTCAACTCACTGTTTCATAGGTCTCAGAGCCAGGCAAGATTACTCAAATATGTTGCAAATTATAACAAAGGGCCAGCAAAGAACAGAGTATCTGCTGTGTGCACCTACCTTTCTTTATCCCCTCCAGCTAGACCTTCACAGCTCTTATGTAAGGCAGCCATTTTAAGTGAATTTCACTGATGATTTTTATTCCTTTTTTTTTCCTCTTTTCTTTTTGTTTAAGGAATGATGTGCACAAACATATCTTCCCTCTTATCTAAGCATGGTATTGATCACATAACTTTCTATGCTACGGACTTAAGCTCTTCATTAGCCAGTCAGCCACAGAGATCCAGCATAATTATATCCAGAGATCCTTATATTCCTTAACAATTTATGCTAATTTATGTTGAATTTCACATTAAATAATATTAGCACAAAAGAAAAGTTTGTCATGTTACAGGAAAATTAATTTAAATCCAGCACCTTGCCCACAGTCAAGAAAGTTTGTCTCAAATAGGAAGCAGAATGAGTATCGTCTTCACCTTTCTAAGAGTGTTGCCAGTAAATGCATTGTAACTAGGTCTCAAAGCTGGATCTCCAGCTCACTAGATTTTGTGTCATGTTTTGTTGACTACTTGACAGGCAAGATCTTCATGTCATGAACAAACTTCTCCATTTCAAAGATATCCTTGGCATAACCCACATTGAAAAAATCATTTATGCTGATGAAATTGTGAAAGCATTTTTTTCTTATTGCCAGGCTATTTATAAGACATACTGCTATTAAATGACTTCATTGAATATGTCATTTTCTCTACATCTGGAAAAACTTCCTAGAACTTGGAAATACCTATAGTTTTAGTGGCATCTGGTAGCACCACGAGGCATTAACTAAGATCATGGACAATGCAAAGAAATTATCTATGTGGTCCATTTATCATCAAGATAAACATTAAGAACACCTTTCTAATTTTCACCACTCGAGCATATGTGCTCAACAAAGGAATAACCAACTGGAGAAATAAAATCAAACTTTGCATTCAAAGTTAAAGCAACTCTCTTTTGATTTCTACATATTCCATATGAAACAATCCCTGACATATTGTGCTCAAAAGCAATATTTTGATATCACCACAAAGAACCACCTTTCACAGAGCCTTGGAAATACACTATATGGTGTTCTTGGCCTGTCTAACTTTCTTCACCAACTACTCCAGTTGCAATATTTAGCATAGGGCAGTAGGATTTAAACAGGAGCCTGTATGAATCAAAAAGAAAAACAACCACCTTCAAGAAAATAAAAAATCTTGGCTCAGCTCTATGATTGTTAAAGCAAACCTAGGGGGGAATAAAAAGTCAAATGCAGAGAAAAGGGAGACTTAAAATATTTTGTTTAGCAAATGGCAGATAATATTAGGAGGAGACTGAAGCAGAAAAGTGGAAAAAAAAGATTACATGGAAACATGCCCTTCCTCCCAGCCTCAGACTTTCCCAACTCCCGTTAATTATCCATGCCAGGGAGACACTGCTTCTGCTGCTGCCTGCTTTTCCTCTCAGAAATTTGAGCACTGGAATTTCGTGCAGCTGATAGATTATGTATCAAGTTTAAGAATACTTCTTTTTTTCTTTTTAACTATAGTAATATTTCTGCCTGAATTTTGTCTTAAAAGACCTTGGAGAAAATGTTTGCAGTTAACTTCTTGTGTAAAACCCCTGAAAAATAAACCAAACAAAAATACAGTGGAGCAGCATTACAAAAATACACAAATTATTCACATTTTGAACTTCACTCACATACGCTTTCTGGGAAGGAAAAAGGTAATCAACGAGCAGCAACAGTGCTGTTAAAACAACCAAAGACACCTATATAGACATTTGGGTTTTATTTTTATATAAAAAAAGTCAGATTTATTAGTGCCAATGTATGTTCATAGTAAGGAAACAGAAACTAAGCTAATCTGAGTAGCAACTTACATCAAAGGATATCAAAATAATATTTCTCGTAAGTGAAACATAATACGTTTAAACTTGATTCTTGCCAACTAGAAGTCCTCGTTATCTGTCTATGAAGCCTTTAAAGAAAAGTTGCTACAGTCAAACAGGGTCCTGACAGAACTTGGCACATAAAGAAACAATTCCATTTTCACCCATACAATACCTTTCACTCCCCTGAAGCACTCATTCATACAATACTTACATAATGCATATACATTATGACTAAAGCCATGTCTGGCCTAAACACATAGAATATCTCAGTTCTAAACGTAACATATCTCTACATCAAAAGCAGGTCACTGTATTTACAGCAGATGATCTCGCTCTGCAGATGGGGCTTTCACTTGAGGATCCTTTTGTTAGTGTACACTAAGATGTCCAAGTCGTCAACATATTTATCAAATTAGAGGTGTATCTACAGGAAGATCTGTCTGACCGTGTGCGAGGATTCTAAGGCAATAGTAGTAGTTGTTCCACAGGACTAGTGCTGCCGTTGCAACTCACTCTCCGTTGGAGCAGTAAAACCTTCCTTCTCCAGATGCAGCCAGGCATAGTGAGACATTCATGATCTGCAAGCTGTTGGCTCAAAAGTCTAAAACTTCTTGGGTTTGTTTTTAGTGTTCATGGAATAGCACCATAGGAATTCACTCAATAACAAAGAAATCCTGGGTCTGTTATTTTGATTTGCTCTTTTCACCATCACAGATACTCTTACTCCCAGAGAAAAAAAACAACTCTTTGGGAAACCTCCCTCTTGGATACCACTGCAGCTTCATTTCTGCGTAGCCAAACCAGATAATTAGCTCATTCACAAAAGAGGTCCAAAGAAACAAAGCTTAGTAGTGGCTCCAAATGTACTGTTGAAAACAAATTCAGTAGGAGGAGTTTCATATGATCCTTGACTATTTCTGTTTCTCATGGATACAGATTTTGATTCAGGACAGGTTTTCATCTTAGTCTTTCTATGTTCAGTGCAAAATAAGAGCACATCATCAGAGATAGCTTACTTAACTCGTAAACCAAACATTTTATAGATGCTTACACTGTTCAAATTCAGTCAACTAGCGATTGGTCAACTAGTGACCGATGTAACAGTTCAGACTTCTCAGCCATTAGTAAAACAAAATACTCTAAAGATCAGTTACGTTTCAGAAGTAGGATTTTCCAGTTTCAAAACACTGTTAACCTGATATGACAGATGAATTTGTAAAAAATACAGAATAATGTAGGAAGACCTTCCCATTTCTTATCTTCTTTCAAGTCCTTGTACACACCATATGCAGGATATAAAGTCAAAGCAACTAGATATAAGGACAGTATTTTGATTGTGTGACCTGAAAGAGCTTTTTTTTTTTTTTTTTCTTCCTGGACACCATACAATTGTCAGAAGGAAGAACGGTCTGAAGGGTCACTTCCCCTGAATGCAACTGATTGAATCTGCACGCATCTATGACAAACGTCAAACCACGAACAAAAGCTCTTCTATTCTCCCTGCATGCAAAGTCCTTTTGCAAGCTTTGCAGCAACAGTCAAGTATGGAGCCTTCACATCATCATCTTGACTATTTCTCCGGTATAGCTGATTTTCTTTTTCAATTTTAGTTCAGTCTCTGGTCGCCGTTTCAACTGAACTCATATAAAACATCTGTGCTAATAACTGCAGTTTAAAAAAAAAGACACACCTTTGTTCCTTTTCACTGTGCGTTCTTTCTTTCTCACTCTCCTTTTCTGGCTCAGAGGTTCTTGTGTTATTTTTTGGTGTGCACACTGCCTGGATATTTTATACTTCTGTATCGTATATGAAATCCTTTCTTGTTGATTGTATCATCCGTGTGAAAGTGAAGTAAAAGAGCTTCTCCTGCTGAATAGATTTCTTCTGGTGGCTAAAATAAATGAAGAAACAAATAAGTTATCTGTCCACTCTGTATTTATCCCCCTCATTCACTTGTTTTTTTTTCTTATGGCTATTTCTCTTTTCCTGTTATGCCTTGTCATATAATTCCATCGGGTCTCATACGGTGCCACCTGACATGATCAGACAAAATACATCTATGTCATTCAGCTTCCAATTATAAGCTAGGAAATTTTGAGGCAGACTGAAGAAATGACAACCTAAACTCCTAAAAGCTGGAGGCCAGTTTAAATCACAATGCTTGAATTTTTATCTGCTGGCAGAAGTTTTGAAATTCCCTGTTATTGTAACTTTTTTGCTTTTATATAAATGTGCACTCTTTCAATCTTGAGCTCTGGGCCCAAAAAGCATCTTTTCACACAATCTAAATAAACATGTGATTTAACTTTCCGAATCTGATTTAACTTCTTCAATTTGTATGAAGCATCTCCACAGTCTTTTCTCATGATACAAAGAAAACAAAGCTCCTTGTTCTTTTGTCCTTCCCAGATGATCTCTATAATTACTGCTGGAGTCACGTAAGTGACTGAGCAGGACCATGCACAATATTCTAAATTTAGATAAGCAACAGACTCCAGTACTTATTTTCCATCTTATTCTTCAAAGCACTCATGATGGCTTGGTTTATTACTGAAGCACATCAATCAGAAGTATCAGCTGAACTAGCAAGTCCTTTTTCTAAATTTGACAAGGCAGCAATATATATTGTGTGTTTTTTCCACTTCGGTTTGGATTATTTTGCTTTCAATAAGTTTTCTATTTAATTTTGTATTTCCTATGTGACCTCTGAAGCCATTCATCCATATCCTACCAGAAGCAAACCAAAACAACAACAAAACCCAACCACCACCACCCATCCACCCCCCAAAAGAAGAATTAGTTCAGCCCAAGGTTGGGCCATTCTGCAGTTTGCTGTCCTTCTACTTGAAAAATAGAGCAACTTGCAAAGTATTGTTTTGTGTAAATTAGTAGATGCTGGGCTCAGTTCTATCATTTTGCTTAGAATGTACTGCCTAAAGTTCAGTGGTAGCACCTTTCCTGCAGCACCTTTCTTGCATCTTTTAGTGTTCAAAAATGCCTTAAAAGGATATAAGCCAACTTACAGGTAACTAGCCCGAATGACTGAAATGTTTGCTCCAGCACTGTGGGTGAATCAAAAAAGTGACACATTGTTAATTAAGAGCTCCTATTGACTCATGTAGAGCCTTTTGAACCTTTTAGCTAGGCAAAGAGTATATATATGTATGAAAGTGTGCTTGCATTTCCACATGCATAAAGAATTGATGAGGACTCGTGGGATCATTGCACCAGCTTTCACAAGGCAGGCAGCCAACATAACAATGCAAGTCTAAAAGGAGAACTAGGATACATCCTTTCCAGGACTGTCACCTGGCCAATTTCCCCCATGTCTCAGAGTTAAAACAAATCAGAGTTGCATATGGAATGACAGGACTTTCTTAAGGCCCATATTAATCACATATTTTAGGAGCACTTTCTTTCCTAAAATCAGATTTAAGTAGTAGACAAGTAGATGAGTAGATATTATAAATGCTTCCCAAGCACTTCTCCCTCTGTAAAATGTGGCTTCTTCATTCAAACTGAAAGGATTTTAATGTGACAGTTTTCAACACTGGTGTGTTTCTCTTTCTGCATGGGAAAATGTATGGTAGCTATTTTTGGGTTGCTGATAAACACCCCACTGTCAGGTACCTAAAGCTTAACATAACATTACAATACTTTGGTCAAGAACTAGATAAGAATATTTATTGTTTAAAATAATTCAAGGGAATACTTGTACTATAAGCCTGCAAACTTCTATTAAAAAACCCCACCAAAACCTAAAGCAGATAATCTAGTATCTTCATTGTAAGGTACAGTTACTGAGCCTCATCCCTTCTTGACCCTTTCCTTCCTCTGCCCTGTCTTTCTTAGTCTTTTTGTTGTGGAAATAAAAAGGTTAGTACCTTGTTACTTACCCCAGATCCACAAAATCGACCAAGTCTCACAGCTGTCTTATCATGACCATCAAAGAGCTCCACATAATCGTAACCACAGTCTGCCTCTTCTTCAACCTCAAACGTCTGAAACATTAACTCAACTCGATTGCTGCGCTCTGCCACCAGTAGCCAGTCGCAGTCTGCCTGAACTGGATAGTTGTTATCGCCAAACTGAGCATGTGAGTACAGATCTTTGGGCTTGGTTTCAGCTTTCAGCCGACCACCACACTCTGAACAGAGGAGGGGGTAGAAGAAGGAATGAAAAAGCTTATTCAGTAAGAATTTGGTTTTTTTTAATAGATGCCCAGCCTTATTCAGGCTGAGTGCATTTTTATGCATCAAGCACGTCAGTCTAACAAGGTATAGAGTGAAATACTACCCAGCATGAATACAAATCCATCACTCTGAGTTTTTCCTATGTAAATTCTTTTTTACAACTAGAGGCTTGAACATATTTCAGGATTTTCAAGTGAAAGACAAAACGACAGGGAACATCAAAGTTATAAAGAATGGGGTAGGACATTCTCTGGGTAGGCACTTGAGAGATGCCTGTGACCAGCAAGTCAAGTGCTTCAGCATACTTCTGTGGTGACTTTTCCACATGGGTTAGCAACACTGTTTGCAAGTGGCGGGGGAGGATCAGCTCTAGCACACATGCAGTCTGCAATCAAGTGCAAAAGTCTTGTGTTTCATAGAAGTGTTAGCTGTAGCCATCATGTAAGCACCCTGAGAACCAGCTCTATATGAAGCTGTGTAGTTCATGGACATGAACAGGTCTTTCCTGTGCTGAGGGCCTCAGAGCTGAGCTCACTACTCCAGGTGGGACCTCAGGAAAGCAGAGTAGAGGGGGAGAATCACCTCCTTCAATCTGCTGGTCACGCACCTTTTGATGCAGCCCAGTGTATGGCTGGCTTTCTGGGCTGCAAGTGCACATTGCCGGGTCATGTTGTGCTGCATCTCATCAACCAAGAGCTTCAAGTCTTTCCTGTCCTACTTTATCCCTTTAGGATGAAGTGTTGGTTTTAGAAATTAAAAGTCAAATTTTCAAGTTCTTAAGTACTAAACTGTAGTTTCAAAAGTTGACAACCAGCCTGCACAATGTACCACTGCATTAGGATGCGTGGGACAAGCTGTGATGGGTCTGCACGCAACAGGGGCGTGCCACACAGCACCACTTGCTTAGCCCCTGATATCAGAAGTAACCTAGCTGCACCATCCATCATACTTTCCATTGCACAGCTATGTCTGCTCTGCTGTAGGTGCACTGTACGCATCTGACTGTAAATAAATATGACTGATTTGTAAAATGCTATTGATCTGATAGCTTTAGGTGAAAGACTTTTTTCTGTATCAGCTAAAGAATAAAACCCCTCTCATTTTCTGACCTTTCTAGTGGCTTTTAGGCTTCTGACAAATGTAACAGCAAATCAAACAGTATTCTCTTGACTGTTTAAGCGGCTGGACAGATGGAAAAATCTTAAATCCACACTACCTGAACGAGTGAAAAATATAATAAATTTGATTCAGCATTGCCATACCAAATGATTACAGTAATTTTGGAAGCGATGCAAGATCCTAAACTGAGTTTTATATCAGGCACTGGTAGTTCAGAGATTCAGCACTAGGGGCCACTGTAAGCCAAGCAACGTCGTGGAAATTATGCGCACGCTATGAAAATGTCCTAAGAAACCTATTAATGCAATTGCAAAATACTGTTTTCAGTTTCAGCGATTTCTGACAAAGAACAAAATTAACTGGTAAGTATGAAGGAGATTATATTGCTAAAATACTAAGTAAGTCTTCAATATTGTTTTTACTTATTCTTCTTTGGCCTGTCTTTCCTTTTTATCTCCATGGGAAAGTAATAGCTGTTTACACAAAACCCAGACTTTTGTTTATGTTAGAACAGGAAAGTAATGGAGGTGCATCACATGTCCCAGTGAAGTACTTCCATTACAGATACAATGAAAAACTACTGAATCTTTTACAAACTAATGGCATGAGTTGTAAGAAATATCTCTTTGATTATCTACATAAATATCTTCTTCTTATGGGACTTTGTTTCAAAATTTTTCAATAACTTACCTATGAGAGAGGTACAGCAAGAGAGAGAGGAGAATGAAACATCTAAAATATCAGAGAATGCTTTCTGCAATCACAGACTTTTCCTAAGGTTTCATTAGGTTTAGCTGTAACATTGTCTTATCTGTTAACTTAGACCATTCCTGTAAAAGAAATACTGAAACATCTTCCACTAAAGGACAAAGGGGAAGTTATTAGTAAAGCACATCCTGATTTTCTGACCTGTAGAGTGTGTTGCTTGGAAGCCTTTTCTTTGAACCGATGCATCAGAAACAAAGCGGAGAAACATTTTGTTTCCAGTAGCAATAAGAGGATCTGGTATCTTATTGCCACATAAACGTCCCAGAATTGGTGCTTTTTCACTTTCACCATCAAACACTTCCAAGTGGTCATAAGCACATTCTTGATGTTGTTCTATCTCAAATTCATTAAAGGTCTGAGGGGGGGGAAAAATGCAAAAAATGACTTAATGTAGTACTGTGTTTACTGTACTTACACAGTACATATGTACTGTTAGTCTGTTTCAGAATACAAAACAGATGTAGTTAAGATGACAGATTTAACATTACTGCCCCTACAAGCCTGTAGCTTTGAGTAACATACTGATTTTGAGGAAGTGGAATAAAAATCAAGACAGTGAATTTTAAGAGGGCATCGTTCTTCATATAGAAAGGGATTAGAATCTTTATAGTCAGCTAACATGCATGAAAGCCTATTAAATCTAGAATGTAGTGGCCTTTCTGTTGAATTTGCAGTTTATAGGATTGTTCCAAATTTCACAGAACATTTAAATCAGCAAAAAGCTGAAAATTATTGGTTCCTCAGATAGTTCAGGATGGATTGAGACATCTGCAAAACATAATGCACCCTCCTTTTTTTTCAATCTTACCACACACTGCAACTAAAGCCTTTGAGAATGACCTTTCCACATGAATGCTTATGCATGAAAGCTATATTTTCTAACCTATTTTCTAGATATCTATTTTTTATTACTACAATACTAACAAGATTTCAGGTTGCATCCTTCATGCTAAGATCACATTTTTGCTAGCAAAATTATTGGACAAATTACAAAATTATGTTGTTTATTAAAAGAACTTCAGCAGACTTTTTTTGCTGTCCTTAGCTCAAGAAAATTCAAATTACTGCCATAGTTTGATCACAAACTGGGGCTCGCAAACTTCACTTCATTTTGAATCTGTGATATTTCTTCTACACTTAAAAACACTTATCTTACTTGCTGTGTTCGCAAGGATTTTAAGTCTCTCAGTGCTCATGGCAGCTTGTAAGGACAAATTCAGGTCTATTAAAAATTCTAAATTGCAAGTCCTTTGCAGCAGAGCCTGGTCAGCTTACTTTTAAAAACTTTGGAATTTATAGTTCTCAAAATGTATGCCATATCCTACAGAAACCACTGACACACATACAACTAATACCTGCTTTTCAAGTACAGAAGAGTGTCTTCTGAGACTGGACTGGTATCAACAAATTTATTTCAAGGAGATTTCTAAGAGATTTCAGGTAAGACTTTTTGACAAGAGCTAAATTTCAAGAAGAAACCTAAACCTTAAAATCTATTAATTGCTTCTTATGTAAACACTGAGAAAGCAATACACATAGAAACCTTTGTGAATTTTCAGAAAAAACCTGCAATTGAAGGTGAAATTCAATATATGTTTTGTTAAACAAAACAGCATAAAACCACTAAGTATGAATGCTCCCATGAATAGTTATACACCTGACTATTTAAGGAAAAAAAAAAACAAACACAACAAACCAACCCTTTTTACCCCCCAGAAAACCACTAAAGGATTAAGAAGCAATAATTAAATCTAACAAAACTGAGCTGTCAAATACTAAGCAAGTATCTAGTATACCAAAGCAAATCTGACTTACTGAATCCCTTGTGGAATCCAGCCAGTGTGAAATGTGACGGTAATTTATATTAACAGCTGACCTAAAGGAACTATAAAGAGCTAACACAAAGTCTTTTGCCCAAAGAAACAAAATATTCAGAATAGCATTTTTGTTTTGCAAAGAGTGAAAAGTTGCATGATGCAGTGGATATAGATTAATTTCACAGGAAAGCTTGGGGGCTTATTTTAAGGGATTGAAACTGCAGAGGCAGTGAAAACAGCTGCACAGCAGTCCCTTCTGCTACTCTTAAATTATACTCAGCCATCCTACTTTTATGATGCCAAGTACGTGTTGCCATTTATACCCAAATAAAACCTGATAGGTTAAAAAAAAAACCACCAAAACAACCCAAAGAAAGACAACAGACTAACTTTAAGGGAGTTACTTAAATGTAGAATTGAGTCAAGCCAACTTAGAATCAATAGGGGCACTCAATGTGATCTAAAAGCAGCCTGCAGAACCTCATTTTCTTTTAGAGGAAAAATATATCAGTTTTGTTCACTTCTCATCAGTACAAAAAAGTGACTCTCTAGGAAACAGTTCTCACCATGAACTGCAAGACACACCCATTATTTTTAACATTGGACTTATCACTGGGATTTTCAAGTCTGCAGGAGGACAGTACTTGTTATTTTGGGTTCCACAAAGAATAGAAAGAAGTCCTAAATGTGTTGTGAGTCTAGCAGTTGATTCTAAAAATTACAAAGAGAATCAAAGGAATTTGTTCTTTTTTTAAGGAAAAGCAGATCTTAGTGTGAAGTCTTTCAGAAGCTCAAAATGCCTGATAGTTCAAAACACTCAGATATGATCTCCATTTTTTAAAAAAGAGGTCAGATTAAGAGCAGGTTTGAAAGAGGAGAACTGACACAAACTTTCCTTAAAGCTGAATATAACTGAATAGTTGCTGCCAACAGAGTTCACAGATAATTTAATAAAGTTGTTAGTATAATTGAATCACACTCTGTCTTCCTGGGACAAATACTTTTGAACACCTACCCCACCATGACTATAGCCCCCATTTTGATTGTCTCCTAAGAGGCAATGATATTCAGAAATGTTACATATAGTTTCTGAACATCCAGCCCTTTCTATCTATAGCACTCAACTGAGTAGATATGTTGGTGGCACTTATGGATAGCTGCCTGAATGGGACACTTAAGTCTGTCTCTTATAAACATCCGGCTGATTAGCTTATGAAAATCGTTCTCTCCGCTACATACATTTTCAAAGCTATCTTTATCTACACGTTTCATTTAAAAATTCTGAAGTGCATGTCCATTTTTTCATGAGCTTTTTTAATTACACTAACTGCTTAACTTTAGCCTTTCAGGAAGAGACTTTTCAATGCTTATCAGAATGAGAGCAATCACAACTAAAGATTAGTTTCTGTACTCACACCTCTCTCAAAAAACTAAGTTCAGGCTTACAATTCATGTGGTTTGTTACCTGGAAGAAATCGCTTCTTCTTGTTCAATTTGACTATGTAAACTCTGAGAGTAAACTTAAAAACAGTGTAAAGTCCAAGAAAAAATATTTATCCATAGTGGAAGTATTGTATTATATAGTATTAATATTATTCAGATGGCATTTTGCTGTACTAGACTTTATAGATATTATGCATGTAGAATTTAGTAGATATGCCCTACTGGTTTGCACAGAAAAGTGGATTTCAGACTCTAAATCATATGTTGGTTGCGTTGTTTTTTTTTTAATTCTAATTTTTCCAATTTCATTGGCAAAAGCAAATTTAAAAATCTTTTCTTGTAAAATAGATGATGCGATATTTCACTGAAGAAATCTGAATGCTGGAATTTTGTCGGCTGAGGTTAAAACAACTGAAAAGAGTAACATGCCCATGCTTGACTGGCTTTGGTTTATTCCGCCAGGATGAAAGAACACTTGCTCAGAAGTAACAGTAGGAAGGCCACCTGAACCACAGACCTGTTTTTCACCCTTTCAATGGGCACACAACTTATCTTCTGCCACCCCCATAAACCCCAGAACAGTTTAACCATTTTAATTCTGGTGAACAGGAACCAATACACAATCCCACATCAGCACTTCTTCCTCTCTAAAGCAAACATCTCTCTTCTTCAGTTTATTTACTCCCAAACATATGTGAAATCAATTTATCAGATTTTAAAATATTTAAGGACAGCTTTTGTTGTGGCTGTCCCCTGAGGACTCTGGCTGAAGGAACACTGGGGCTGAACTCAAAGCAGAAAAGCCCCCTGGCAGGTCTGTACCTTCAGCTTTGTACAGAGGCTGTGTAACCTCAACAGAACTGCAAAGGTCCCTAAGCTATACTAGCCTGTCTTCAGGCACCAGAACTGTTCTCAGCCAGCTGGACACAAAGGTCACTTAAGTCTACTTGGACAGCTTTTATATCTGTGTTAAAATTTGGAGCCACTTTAAAATGAAAAGTCCAGACTCTTGGGTTTTGTATCTTCCTCCTCAAACATAAATGCAACAGATATGTGAAGAGGACCGTTCATAACTTCTAATTTTGCTTATTCTGCATGTTGGAGTTTGCATAAATAGCCCCTGCCACACTTGACAAAGCGTTATGCAAATTTTATGAATCGCAACAATGATACAGTACAGCCTGAAAGGAGGAAAGTATTCCTGCCCTTTGCTATCCAGAGTATCTACAGCCACCACAAACTTCAATTCACAGCTCTATGATATTGAGTAGCCCCAGTTGGCCAGGAATGGACAAGAGTCAGCAGGTTTTTAAAACAGTTTACCTCTGGTCTGCAAACTGATAGTAAAGTTTAGTAACAGTCATTTGAGAAGCAGATTTGGTGGAACAAAAGAGAGAAAGGAAGGGTAAGCAGATACGCACCAACTTGACCCTCTGCCCCGGGGTGGCACTGATTTCCCATGTGCACTCCTTTCTGCTGGGATACTTGTCGGGCCAGTTGGGACTCGTGATGATGCCATTGGGACTATGGATCTTCTGTTCACACTCAGCTGTGCCAACAGTGATAGTATCAGTCAGTCTGGGGATTTGATTCAGAGGTAGCCAGAAAATACCCTATTTTGTCAGTGAACCCATGGAACGGAAAGGATCTTCAGAAAGACACCTAAGCACTCTCTTCTGTGTGCACAATCATGTTCTTCTCCTTTGGCACACATATTATGGAAACTAACCCACCTAACCCGGGTTAGTTTCAACTAACAACTAACTAAACTAACCTGTTTACTGACTACTGAAACATATACTGTTATTTACAATAAGTGGTGCTTTTATTTTTTTTTTTTTTGAAAAAAAAAAAGAAGGAATGACCATAAGTATTAAGCCATAATATTTTGCCATTCCTGCTATTCTACATACAAGTATGAAAATCAATATGAACAATCTTGCTACTCCAGCATCAAATGGTATTTCTTGAACAATTTATTTTAATCTCTTCTCACTAATTTTCATACTGCAGATACAGAGCAATCGTTCTGATTTCTAAACCACAGTTTTTAGGGACATATATACCAGTAGAGAATAGCTAAGACTAAACAAGAACAGCTTAGCCATTCACTCCCTAAGTGCATCTCTGTGAATAAATACAAACAAATAAAACTTAAAGAAGGCAAGAAAGAAACTAATTTAATTTTTGCATTTAGTTTTTTAATAATCCCAAATTCCTTTATAAACATCAGAGAATTATTCAACAGGAATCTTTTAAAGCAGACGAGCATAATTTCAACACCAGTGAAAATGCAAATGATTCACAAAGGGCATATCTTTACTTGCAAATTAAATCCGTGTTAGAATACAGCCTTGAGAAACTGCAGTAGCTCACATGATATTGCACGCTTGAGTTTCATTAGCAGATAACCTAATCCTACCTAAACCGCAAAGCCTACTGCTTTTTTGGAGGTAGCCACACCTTGAGACAGGTAATAGGAAGAAAGTTGCACAGGGACTTGGCTGGAATTTAGATTCTCTGAATATGTCCCCTAAAATAATCTCAGAAAGGGCAGATAGTTTCAACGTGACTGCAAGGAAACTACTACTGATAGGAGCAAATGACAAGTTTACCAGGCTTCTCTCCAGAAACTCTATCCCAGTGTTTTATGCAGCATTTATGACAGCTTTAAATGTTCTACACTTCACAGAACTATTAAAAATAGCACTCCCTGCCAATGATCCCAAGTTTTCCAAACTGCATTCCTGTGGACCTAAAACTCAGCGACACACAAATGCTGGGACAGAGGGGATGGGAAAGGGAGGGCAAAGGAGTGTTTAAGTCCAAATGTCTAAACCCCCATTACCAAGATGATTTTCCTTCCTTTCTTTTCTTTGGAAGGAGAGCTGCAGGGAGCTTTCTGAAAACAGTTGTATAATTAACTGTTCAAATACCTTACTACTCACCCTCCTTGCAGTCATGTTTATTTTCATGTAGCACAAATCCATTTCGGCACTGGCAAACATAGCTTCCTACCGTGTTGATGCACTCGTGCTGGCAGCCACCATTGTCCTTTGAACACTCATCCTTGTCTAAGAAATACAAAACAAGGTCGGGTGAGCATCAAGCTAGCAGTAGTCCTCATTACCAAAAAGAGAAAAAGTCGAGCACAGTGTTTCAAGAAAAGGATAAGCTAAGGCACAATCACTCTTCTTAATATGGCAGTTTCATGGTACCTTCTAGCCACCCATTGCTCGGCCTAAAGCCTTGCACCATGGCACAAACAGCCTGACTCATCTTTCTAGGAAATGAGGGGTAGTTCCTTAGAGAGAGGAACAACCAACCAACCTAAATCAAAGGAGGTAAGACAGTTACCAGTGTTTGCTATTTCAAGTGATCTAGCTGGTAAAAAAAATCATAAATATCCCATCCAAAGCTTTATTTCAGTAAGCAACATGGATGTAATCTATGGACAACACAGTTTCAACTTTATGCAAATTCCACAATTTAATGATGGTATGTCAAAAGGAACATGTAAGCCAAAAAATGCTCCAAGCTGCATTAAGAAAAAAAGGATTCAACATAAACTTCTTTAATAAGCTGATTTTTTTTTTCCCAGCAGAGTGACAGTGTGCTTTACTTTTAACGAATCTGGACAGTACAGAACATCACAAAAGGAAAGCATTTCATTGAAAAACATACAAAAGAAATTGGCATTAGTTATTTCAAGGAGATCTACAATATAGCATGCAGTTCTGTTTATTAAGATATAATCATTCAAAAGAGCTTTTTAGTGTGTTAGAAATAAAGCAGAGTCAGGGAGGAAATATGACCTCCATTAAACAGTTACAAATTCACTGCATGGACAGAAGCCAAACTAGATTAACAAGCTGTCATTCTAGAAAGAGGCCTCAGCTGCCACCCTTCTATGTCATTCAGCTGTTGTCATTTGAGGTGAGGCTGGCCCATTTGTAAGAGGCAGACTGCTCCTGACATGTGTATATGTATGCACATCTACATACCTCTCTATGTATGTATAGACATAGATATAAATCCTGAAATGGAAAAATATATGCCTATATATATATAAACACACACATAAACACAATTTACAACACTGTGTCTTACAACATGTGTTATTTCAACATGAAAAAAGGGGAGGAAAAAGAGCCTAAACTGTGGACATCCCAGAGGTCCAGCTGCTGCAGGGCTGGAATGCAAAGCACCCACCCCTTTTTGCCTCATGTACCTTGAAAAGCAGCAGTGAGTGTTATCTCTGAACACGGTAACATGCAGTGTTTCAGACTTAAGTCAGCACAGTAAGAATTTCTATAGATTACAAGCCTCTATGGATAATTTAAGTCTCTTTTCATTGTCTTACTCATGCATTTTTCCCCCTGCCCTTACTTATGCTCATATTTAGTAAGATGACAATGGAAGTTTACATTATAAATGCATACACATCAGCTTTATCTGCCAAAGCATTTGCAACACTTGACCCGTTGACTTGCAGGTCTTTCCATAAAAATCAGCTCCTACTTATGTACATGATGATAATGTACATTTACAGATAAATTCTGCAAGTCAAACGCAAGCATCCACTGCATTTTGCCCTGTAAATCTCAAATCTGTTTGCGTTGAAAGCTTTTCAAAGCTTTCTGCAGATGTGAACAGATTTGAAGGTTAAGAAGCAGCCAAAAACATTGGTAGCTTCCAGAATCATACATCCAAAGGCTTATACTAGTTGTCATTCATTTTGATGATGAAAGAAGCAAGAAAGCTCCACGATACACTGTTTATGCCCCATGCAATGCAAATCCCAAACTGAGATAGTAAATCCATTTCATTTCAAACAAAAGTTACAATATTTTATTTTTGCAAAAGCAAGCACTGTCATAAATTAATTCCATGTTGTAAATGAAGAATAGTAATGAGCAAATGAGATATTAGATACAATACAAACAAAACTCTTCAATATTTCCCCATCTAAGCATTAGTTTGTAGGTTTCTACCAAAATAGCAAACTAAATGGAAGGCAAGCTCAAAATGCATTCAAGTTAGGCTTTCGAGTACAGAGTAGGTACACAAATTCTAAATAAAAGCCCTGTCCATTTTCATCTTCAACCAAACTGTGTGAAAATATTGAAAAGTATTTTAACATTAAATAAGCTTTTATTCTATAAAGTAATCTATTAAGAGACAAGCGCATAAGCAAACAGTCCCATGTTGGACCTTCTCAGAGATACAACAATGGACAGAAGGTAGAAAGAAGAAGCTTTCCGATTTTGAACTACAATAATTGCTTGTGCATGGTTAATCAAGGATGCAACTGTTGAACAAGCCTTCATCACACTTCATAATTCAGAACAGACTTTCTGTCAAATTGATCCCCCAGTTTCAAAATTCATGAAAAAACCCCAATTAGTCTGTATTAGTTATAGGAACAAATGTTTTGCCATGTAAAAACAAAGCCATTTGTTAGGCTGGCAGATGGAAATGAGTCTCCCAGTTTTGAATGGATACTTTCTTTTCTCATTTTACTACTCAGAAGAGTGAAAGTTCCATTCTCAATAAAATGTTAGATTGAATCATTCAGAGGACAAATAGTCGTACCTCTGAGACCCTCAGAGGCCACCAGTCTGTGAATAATACGTACTCGGCCTGAAGGGACCTCTACCAAGTCCTTGCAAGATTCAAAACCAAAAATTTTCTCTTTGCAGGCAGCTTTCTTGTCTGTGGAAAAAAAAATGTACCAGGATGGCACCAGAAATGAGTTTGTTCTCTAAAATTTGCTCAAGGCTAGAAACATTCTAGCTTTCTCGTTTTAACTGCTCAATGAATCATCACCCAAAAAAATGTATGTTCCAACAAACCTTTTTCCTATATTACAACAAACACAATGTATGTTTTGAATGATCATGGTTAGACTCATGTTTATTTAAAATATTGAAGTAACTCTAAAACTTATGATAAGTGGAAGCAGTTTAGTGACATGTTATCACTGGGTATTAATCATACCACTATGCAAAGACTGATTTAAAGAAATCATTAAGCTATCTTCTTGGAAACATCACAGGGTAAAAAAATAATATATTACTGTTATCTTTTTTTCACCCTAATGTAAAATTCATGGAGTCATTTTATGGGCCAAGCAGACTCCAATAGTTTACTGTCTTGTAACAGAGCAGGAGAGAGTTAAGGGAGGGCAGAAGAAAGAATAAAAACCTAATTACTGCAAATTCTCCCTTTAGAAGCCTAATATCTAATTCCAAAATAAAATATTTAAAGTTAAAAAAAAATTATATAACATGACTCCCTTCTTGCTTCTCTTTATCCAAGAAACTTGGTGATAAATATACAAACGTGTCTCTGGAGATTAGAGAGATCCCTGCAATGGCTCCCAACTGAGCTTCCCTCAGAACTGTCCCATCAAATGTAAATTTTACAGAATTTTGAATAAAAAAGTTTTTCTCACTTTCCAGTAGCACCTGTCTGGCTGTTAACACCATTTTACAGCCAAAAATGTAATTAATGTTGTCTTATAGCAACATAAATACCTTCCTAAGGCAGGTCATCTGTTGCCCTATGTCACTGTTTGCTTTCACAGTTTATCACAGTGGATTCCAATCACCCAAAAACTGCTTTCTGTCATCTGAGCTGGAGCTGGGCCATGCTTTCTCAACTATAGCTGTGGGTGCAGAATTCATCACCCAAAGGAGTTGTAGAAAAAGTTCTTCGGCTGTGCTTGAGGAACACATTACAGTTCTAATATTAAAACTAATCTGATGTATCTACCTGTCTCTCTTGCTGTGCATTGCATATGCCCTTTACTCATAAAGACTTCAAGATGCAGTGTTTTACTAATTCCCAATTTTTTTCATTGTGCCTGTCTTTATAACCAAATGCTTACATATATTCCTATTGTGATTTAATTAATAAAACTGTTAAATGCCTTCCAGCAAGTATTTGACAGTAGCACTAAGCATTTCTCCACAGATACAATTCTAGAAGTATTGTATTCTGAAGACAAGTACATAAATAGGGAAAAAAACCACCACTTTGTCAGCTGAAAATTGATCAGTTATCAACTCCCAATAGTCAAAACACTTGAAGTCTCAAGTCCATTCTTCATTGACAGACCAATAGCATCTTATGTCTGTACTAAGGGATTCAGGGGTAAGAAAGTTAATGGGTTTTCTGACAGCCATGAGAGTTTTGTGCCATGAAATATTTAGAGATGACAACTTCTTTTTAGATACTTTAGGTTCAAAAGTTTGTCCCAATGATTACAGTTTCTGTTTTAATCAGGAAATACTGTCAAAAGGGGAAAGCCAAATAACACAGAAGAATTGAATCTGCCAGAAATGGTCAACAACTGGAAGAGAATTGAGAAAGCATAAAAATAAAAGTCAAAGTATCTGAACCCATATGAAATGGGAGAAAAGACTACGGCAGATATGCATAATGAAGCATTCTTATACTTACTATATACTTATACATACATACAGATTCAAATACTGTTTATATCAAACTATCTTTCTTTGAAGGGGATTAAGTACATACTATATCCAGGAGACATCATACATTTCTGTTCAATAAAAATCACATTGCTTCAGACTTATCCCTGACTAATGAATTTATTTTAGTGATCAATGGCATCATATAGAACGTATTTTTTAAATTACCAGGAAAAACCGGGTTTCAGCTTGGGATGGGGAGGGGGCAATGGAGGGAGGGAGGAACAATTCATTCAGAGCTGAGAAAAACAAGGAATTTATGGTTCTGATTGATTACAACCTGATGCTTTGAACTCCATGAATTATACATAGTCTACTCTTTCCCCAACATACAGCAATACAGCATTGGCTTGATTTCTTCTGAGAACCCACTAACTAACAGATCAGTGAAACAGTCAAGGAAATAAATGATTACATCTGTGAAAATGAACTATCAATTTAAAGAAAACTAAACTTTGACTATAAATGCATAAATGTTCAGCATGTCCACAAAAAAAAAACAAACAACACTTCTGAACTACAGAGCTTATACAAATTACAAACCCGTCATCATCAATCTTATCTAGCATAGCTGTATAGATCTTGAAGATACATAACAAACTTAATTTGCAGACCATTTTTAGAACTGGAACATGTCAATACTTATTCTTGTGAAAAGGCAAAATAAGTGACGATTCCTGCTGGCATTACCAGGCTTACATGAAATGACTAGCTGTGTAGGTGTTTCTAGGAGGAAATTCTGCTGTGTGCATACACATATTTACTACAAATAACAAGTAAACCTCAAAAGCTTCTTGCTAATGTAACACACAAAATCAAAAGTAAAAAGCATTACTACATGTAAAGATGGATCTGAAAGGCTATGACCAGAGAAACATGATTACTAGAAAAAAAATAATATGCTTTAGAAGAGTTAAGCTATTCTAAATGTCTAAACTGTTTGTCTGGACAATTCTTTTCCTCGCTTTACAAACTATATCACCTATACAATATTCTGATTCATATTACTTGGTAATAGATAAGTTATCAGTTCTTAAAGCTAACCAATGAAATACCATTTCATTCCAGTTTTGATAAAATATTTTAGCAAACAAACTCTAGTAACGATGCTGGGTAATACAATTTGCTACATGAAAAGCATAATCAAGACTCTCCAGATTCTGATTTTTAGTGGCTATCAAAAAACCTGGGGCAGAATTCAAATTCCAAATGCTTCTGGTTGACTTCCATCTTGAGGAGGTGAGCTGACACAACTGTTTTGTGGTGTGGTTTTACACAAGATAACATATGCATTTGTGTATGTGTGTAAACACACAAGAGAAACACTAAGCAAAATTCCACTACTAATACTAGGTGGTATCCTGCCACAGGCAGATTATTATAATTTAGTCTCAATGGGTAATTGCACAGGCTACTGTTGTGCAAATACTTCCTCACATCTTCAGCTTCACTTCTAACTTTATTCAATGATACATGGCTTCAGATCATATAAACTTCCATCTCTCTGATCTGCCTCACTGAAATTACACTCATAACTAAAAAAGACATATTTTTGCAAGAACAAAGTCTTAAACTCTGGTCTTCTGCAAAACATTAAGGAGTGCAAAGTTTGGCAAGAAAGCACCCATAATGTTAAACAAATGTGTAGCACAAGTGCTAATCTCAGAACTAATGCAATATATTAAGAGAGATGAGTGAAAAAAACATACAAGCGTACACAGTACATAATTCATATCACATTGCAACTGGGTTTGGAAGAAATGGGAAAAAATTTTTTGATAAAAGAAATTACAATTCAGAACAGTATTTTAAGACAGAAGAATTGTTTGTGCTTATATAAATAAAACAAATTCAAAGCTGCCAGGGAAACTGTAAAGGAAAAGGCCACTCACTTTCATATCAAAATAGAGTATTCACTCTACCTAGTCATTGTATGCTCAGGGACACTCATAGGTATACAAGATTAATTTTCTATACCTGAGAAGAAGTGTGCTTTGAAGCCTTTTTTTGACACCGTGTTGTCAGATCTGAACTCAATTCGCATGTTGTTGTACTGAGAAGTGATAACTTCAGGCACTTCTGTACCGCAGAATTTACCATGTAGTTTAGAATCAGAAGAAAGGCCACTACGAATCTCCACATAATCATATTTGCAAACCTGAGAAAAAGAAAAATATTTTTTCCCCGATCAAAAGAAAAGCATGAAGTTGTTTACAAATTTAAGAACTCTGATTGGTGTGTGCTGCTAAATAATAAATTAATAGGTTTTGGCTTTTTTTTTTTTTTTTTCCACTTTTTCCTGACACTGAAAACATTTGTAAATGCTTGCAAACATCCACTGATTTGTGTAAGAATATTTTAAGGTCACTAAGGCACAGCTACACTACGCATTACATTCAAAAAATGTATTTTGATAGACACTAATCTGTGTTTAAATCTCAAGACGCTCGCAGCACTTCCATTTAGTCTAAAAAATAAAAATTCCAGCAACATTAGATTAAAATCTAGAAATATTAACCCTAAAAGTTATAACTGCCTTCATGCTATAAGCCTCATACCCAGAACCTACAAACCTACTACTTGCATCTCATAGATCATTAATTTTTTAAATTTTTTAAATTTTCACTTAGAAACATACAAGATAAGTTTTTACCATAACATACTTAAGACATATTCATCTGTTCACAAATATATCCATCTGCAGTCTAAACCCATCCACCTTTCTTTAACTACAGTTTAGAAGACTGATGCTGTGATGCAAGTCATTTCCATTAAAAGGTAAGAAATAAACTAAAATAATGTAATAAAAAGCCTTATGCAAGACCTGCTACATGTGGTAATACTTTCAGTGCATAATCCCTTGGTTGACCTAAAGCCTTCCACCCAAAACTTCTAAGCTTCTTAGGCTCAACTACCAATCATTTAATCAAAAATGTCCCAGTTGTTTGAAATTAATAGCTTACATGAAAACAGTGGCCAGGAGGATTCATAAAGAGCTTAGACTGTCCATAAAATCCAAGTTGTATTGGATAGATCACAATTTCTAGCTAAAAAAGAAATGTCAGGGGAACTGGAAGGGAACTATTGAAAAGACTCTTTTGGCCCTTGTTGCTCTCTCTCCCTATAAAATATGAAATGATTGTCAACATTCCTAATTGTTTTTAATATAATATAGATGTAGATTAAATATTGTTACTGGAAAAAAAATCACACTGCAGAGTTGGAAATTAACTAATTCACTTGAAGCTACTTTTATACAATATAAAGAACACAGACTCATAAAAATTGAGTTCCTGCCACATGCTGATTTACATTAATTGTAAGATAAATTCATATTAATGATTTTCAAATGTAGCTCACAACATTAATAAATCCCAACAATTTCAGCAAAACATCAGTGGTGAATTTGGATGGTTTTATACCTTTCATTATAGAAATGAAATGTAATTTCAGATCAGTCTAACTTCCTTCATACTACACTACATTTTAAAAAATTTACAGTTAAATTGAAATTGTAAAATGAAAAATATTAAAATGGTAATATTGGAAAAGACATACTCAACTTATTCTAAGTGGAGCTCCTGTAAAAAAAAGTAATTAAAGCATTTGCTAAATTGATACATTTTATGCCTGCACTCAGACACTATGTTAGAATGTTCCAGATATTGTATGTTACTTCTGATTTCCAAAGGTACTATTCTTAGTACTAATATTTAATAGCATAAAGCTGAGATTTAGTAGCAGAAGATCAAGCCAAAGTTTTAAATATTCAAAACCATTAAGTATGTATTTTTCATATCTGCTTAAGTTATGTGTCATATGAGTACAACCTTAGAAAACTGATTTAACTTCATGCACTCCAGGTGCCTTCCTTGAAAATCTGGCTTAAGTACCAAGAAAGTGAAGGAAAAAATATGTTCTGGTTTGTTCAAATGGTAATTAAATTTTAATTCTTTGGGATTTGTAAGGTTTTATTACACTTTTCTTGTAATAATGCTAACAAAAGACGAGTGTAACATATAAATCATTAAAAATTGGAATTTCATGGATTTTAGAATCTACCCCAAATTATTTTAAAAAAGAAATAAAAATTAAGACCTCACATTGCTGCCTCTGCAAGTAATTTTGAGATATTTTTGAGAAGCTATGGCTTGGTTGTTTCTTGGTTACAAATTACAGCTTTTTCCATTTCAGATCTCATGCCCCAAACATGGCCCATCCTTGTATCAAACATGTTGCTACAAATTTGTTTAGTCAGAAATAATGTCCTGGGATCTGGGTTCTTAATACCATGTGAAGAACATCATCAACTCGGTGGCTACAGTACATTAGGCTACATTGTGGCAGGGGAACTTAACAGTATGACTGAGGAGCGTCTAGGAAGAAGAGAGGCTAAGTTGATGTTGACACCCATTTACTGATTCTCACCCCAAAAACAATGCATCCCCCACTACTTAGTTTATAAGTATAGAGCAGCCCTTACCACATGGAGGGTTCTGCCCTTCTCTCCCCCACTTGGGGAAGATATCCTCCACGCCTCCACGGGCTGCCCAGCTCAAACACTGCTGCTCCTCTTTTATGCCTTGTTTCTGGTACTGCTCCTTTTAAAATATCCCCCTCCAAGAGATACTTGTAAGTGATTTAAATGCTCCCTCACTCCATCACTAACCACAGCTTATGTGTATTCTTTGTAGTCATACTCTGCAAAGATGATTTGGTTTCTCCAGATTTTCTTCTGTTGAATTCTTTCCAATACGTCTCAGCCATTTGCTCTATTTTACTTTGTTGATAAAAAAAAGTCAGCTGAGACTCAGCAGAGAACATTACTTTTAAATTTCTTGTAATACATATACATTTAGATGATATGTAAAAGAGAGCTATTCTCTCCATGTTTGTTTTGAAATAATCCAGAAACAGTCCCAAAACGAAAATAAGAATATCTATGGTTATTGTCAGCATATGACAGGTCAGCAAGGGTTTTATAAGGCAATATCCATTTTGAAAGCTCACAAAATTGTTTAGTGTGTAACAGATTGTGCAGCATTTTGTTCACGGTTACTTACTTCATTCCCTTCTAACTCAAAAAACTCAAACTTCACTGAAATTCGGTATTGCGTTGGGGCAACCACCTGCCACACACAGTTTTTGTTTGGAGGATACTCTTTGGGCCACCCTGGCGTGGTTATAGTCCCATTTAGCTTTGTCAGGAGTCCTCCACAAGCAGCTGTAAAATTAAAGGGGAGAGCATTATTATTTGACTGAAACTGTGTTTTACTATAAACAGAAGCATACTAAGAAGATTCAATCCTCTCATTACTTATACCGCTGTAATGCCCAGAGAGAGTAATCAGAATCATGTTTTATCATACTTGGTGCAAACAAAGAGAAAGAGACAGCTCCTATCTTGAACAGCTTGCAGGTTTGCGAACAGAGATAAGTTTCAGGACTACACAAGGCGTTATCATATTCATTCTTTTCCCTTCCCTCCAGAGACTCTGGTTATTCTCTCACAGCCTTTCCCATGCAAGTCCTCTGACCCTACCACCCTCCCCAGGACCTTGACCACCCTTCTTCTGACAGACGGACTACTTAAGATGAGCTTCACATTTCCCCTGCTTCTCTCCTTGATTACTGATCTAGAATCAGCTGTACCTATCTCAGCTCACACAGCTGTATATCCCTCCCATAACCTAGTAGATAGGGTCACTTCTTTGGGATAGCAGTCACATACTCTTCAGTTACAACTACTTTTGCTGAAGTATGGGTGTTCAAGTAATAGAAAAAATACTTGATATTTCTAAGTATATGCCAAATAGTCACCTTTGTACAACGGAACAAGACTGTATTATGTTTGTGAATGCAGTTCAGATAGCAAAGAATAAACATATTAATTTTTTCCATCTGAGGAATTTTTTTTTTTTTTTTAAAGGAGAGTAATGGGATTTGCAGGGTTTCTTGATCAGACTGCTGCACTGATACTATCACAGCACTGTGACAGCACTGGAAATCATCCACAAATCTCTTTTTAAAGAGCTCAGGTGAGGGGAAGCTCCACCTTTTCCCACCAGTTCTGTGCTAACACTGAATGCTTTACAAACTGGCTATTCCTGTCTAGCTGTGTGCCTCTCACACTACAGCCACTTTATCCAAAACACCTGGGAGAACTCTCCAGTTTCAGGGCTCATTTGGCCAACCCAGACACATACCAGTCTTCCTTCTGGCACTAGGCTTCCCTGGCTTCCTGTGAGAAGGCTTCTTAGTGTACACACAAAGGTAACACAAACGGGGTAGGAGGTCATGCCTCAGTATATCAAAAAAGGGCCAGGCACTAGAGACTGCATTCTGATGACACAAGATATACCCCCAAATGATCCAGTCTAGGTCAGGATGGCTACTGTTTGATTTCAATCTCTGCTTTTCAGTGTCACTCCATTGTTCCCTGAGGCAATGGGATGAAATGTAGAAACATGGGGGAAAAAAATAATCTTTAAGCTTCTTAATACTCTTTCAGTGGGGGAGATTTGGATTAGCACAAAAATTAGACTGCAGAGATGTATCAGGTGGAGTTTCTGAGTTGGAAGCTTCTACTCTGGTATCATGCATGAATTAATACAGCTAGGTCACCCCTCAAGAGACCAAATTATAACTGGGATGCAACGCTCACTGTGATAACACAGTGATTTTAATTCAGCAGTCCCAAGTAGTATCTACATATAGAGAATGCTATGTCACATGGAACATATATGCTTTTATGGATAGCTCACATTTTTTGCTCCACACTGCACTACTCTGAGTTACTTCTTTTGCCAGAGTTGCTTTTCTGTTTAGAAAGCAGAAAAGCTTTCTGAAAGACTAATAATCTTCCCTAATACTCTGACTTAGGTCAGCAGGCAGACTAAAACAAATTCTTTACATAAATTTGGGCTGATGATCAAAGGCCCAGAGATCAAACCTCTGTCTTCATGGTCCCACCTTGGATTAACCTTATTTTCTGTATCCTGAGTAATATTCAAATGTTTAAATAAATTTTTTGTTCCCCAAAGTGGTCATTACTAAAGCTGGGGGGAACACCACCAACAAAAAAATCAGCTTGACAAGAATCACAATCTAACATGCCCACAGTCTATGTCCAAGTCCACAAAGCCAAAACCAAAAGAACAAAAAGTGAAAAGAAATGGAATAAAACTTCCCCAAATTGTGACAAATCATGAATTAAAGCTAGGTAAAAAGAAAAAAGAAAAAGACAAAAAGAAAAAAAAAAGAAAAGAAAAGAAAAAAAAGAAAAGGAAAAGAAAAACAAAAGGAAAGGGAAAGGGAAAAAGAAAAAGAGAAGGAGAAAGAAAGTAAAAAAGAAAAGAAAGAAAAGAAAAAAGGGGAAGGGAAGGGAAGGGAAGGGAAGGGAAGGGAAGGGAAGGGAAGGGAAGGGAAGGGAAGGGAAGGGAAGGGAAGGGAAGGGAAGGGAAGGGAAGGGAAGGGAAGGGAAGGGAGAAAAGAAAAAAAAAGAAAAAGAAAGAAAAGAAAAGGAAAAAGGAAAGGAAAAGGAAAGGGAAAAAGAAAAAAAAGACAAGACACCAGTGAATCATATTAACCATAACTCCAGGCACTCCCAATTTTCAAACTCCATTCACTGCTCAAACAGATGAACTGAAATAAGAATAATCTCTGTTATCTCTGAATTTATTGATGTTTGTGATTAAGAATCAAACAATAATTGGTGCACAATGATCAAGAGATTTTGCTTCTTTCCTTTGATATGGAATATGTAGAGAATAAAAAAATCTTATCTCAGTCTAATCCTATGTTTACACAACTTCCACTTACCAGGTTTTTATTTCTCCAAATGATTATTTGAACATGCTTTGCTCACCCTGTAAAGTAGAATTTGTTTCCAGCAAGGAAACTCCACAGTCTGACTAGGAATGGGGAGGATTCCTGTGAGCTTTGATCTAGATTAAAGGATCCTGTACTTTAAACCTGCCAGCTCCCCAGTCCCACCCCAATTAGAGGTGGTCTGAGGGATTGTTAAATTCAGAGACAGTAGTGCATTGCTCTGCTGATAATTGTCTCCTTATGCATGGTGGGAGACTTCGCTTTAGTGAGTATGAATAATGTAATAAGTGCTTTAGGAAGGTACAAAGTCTGATTTTTGCATCACTCCTGATAGACTAACAGCAAAGCCTGTCAAGCTAAATTAGTGACAAACATCCAAGGAACATGACTGCTGTGGACAGACATGACTTTGGCACCATTACTTAAAAGAGAGCACTGGTTTTCCAGGTTGGGTCCTACAGATCTCACACTGCTAGGACAGAGCATATGAAAAGTATATCATTCCATTCAGCAATGGCTCTCTGTGAGGTTTAGGAGCCCATAAAACAGCAACACACCGTACCTTCACAGCTCTTTTTGTCAGGACCAAGCTCATAACCAGGATCACAGGCGCACTGGTAACTGCCCAGAGTATTTACACAGCGCTGCTCACAGCCACCATTGTCAGGTTTGGCACATTCATCTTCCTCTGCCAAGACAGGGAAGAACACAAAAATGTGTTAAATAATTACCTTCCTCAGCTGTAATTCCTGGATCAGTATTAACTCAGAAAGCTGTATGCATGCCATTATAAGGTACACTACATAACACACTGCAGTTGCTGACTAGAGGATTTTCAAATGCTAAGGAGGTTTGCAATGGAGAAAATAAAAAAAAAATGTCTTTTCTAAGGTTTGGGTGGGGTTTTGTACAATACCTACTGACAGATGCAGACCTAATTTATAAGCACTTTGTGGGCAGCATGCAGTAATTGAGGCACCATAATCTAAAGGTTGTATAAAGTATTGAAAGAAAGACTGAAAATCCACAGCAGGGTCACTTGAAGGGCACTTTATCTCCCACAGAATAAATCTGTACATTATCCCAAAGTCATACTCAAAAACAGATTAACAGAATCCTCAAATCCCAGGTTTTCATTCTACTGATATTAAAGGGAACAAGATGCATCAGGAATGGGGGATGGAAAGGAATAATACATTTCCTGTACTAGTTCTGAAGTATACCCATGAGATTCATTGTTAAAATATTCCTCAGATGTTGAAATACTGTTTCCTTATACCAGGACAAGTAATTTCTTAGGAACAAAACAGAGCTCCCACTCTCATGTCCACAGCATTCAAGATTATAATTGTCTATATTGAAAACTAACAACAGGGTGAGAAAAGCCCCAGCTTCTGCAAAAAGGCTGTCTTGATGGCATGACCTGTATTACGGGTGTCACCATAACCTCACCACTGCTGGTGGCTTTCCCTGTGCCATGGGCAGTACATGGTGGGAATTACTGCCCCTGCACCAAGTACTGCAGCTGTCACTGCAGTTGTATCACACACACCCCAAAACTGGAGGAAGACTTTGAGGCCATTCATCACTATGATTTCTCAGGCATTTTGTGGTGGTTTTTTTTCTTGCTTACAGGAAGCAACAAGTTGCTACAGCAGCCTACTGCAGCAAAGAGATTAGGAAAACCATGTTTAGACAAAAGAAGAAAAAAAAATAAATGACCCATTTGTGATTATACTATTTAATTTCATATTTGATAACATAATGACCAAAAAAGACATTTTTACAAGAATATATGTGTTTCAAAAGCGTTTCAAAACTACGGTTATTATCTGAATGGAGTAGGAAGTTGCACTGAGTATGTTCCTTGATTCTTTGAACATATTTTACAAGGATATTCAAATACCTTTACTGTTTTGTATTGGTAAAATTGTATGCCCAGGTAAAAAATATACTACAGATAGTACAGAGATGATGTTAGTTAAAATAGGTTGAGAAATATTAATACTCTGTGGGGTTTTTTGTTTGTTTGTTTTTTCCTAGTAAAAACACAAGTGCTAAGCAGTTCACAGCTTCCAAAATATGCTTTTACATTTACCTTTAAAAAAGTTAGCTGCAAACCCTGCTTTGTTAACAGTTCCATCAGAAACAAACTTCATCCACAGGGTATTAGAGGTAGATCTTATGTCTTCTGGTTTGTCATAGCCACAAAAGTGACCAATTAAAGGACTGTTCTCATTTGTTCCATCTCGAATTTCCAAGTAGTCATATGCACAGTTATCGTGTCTTTCAATCTGTAAAAGAAACATTTTAAAAGTGACCTATTTGAACTTGACCATAAATATCAAATATAAATCAGAAAATAAATAGCATTTTCAAAGTTAAGGTTAGGATTCTCTGTTTGGAATTCAAATATCAGGAAGATGAACAATCATAACTGGACTCTTTTTAACTGTACTTGTTTCCTACAAGAAAAATTGTTGAGAAGTTACACAGGACAAAAGAGACTAATTGGGGAAAAAAAAATAGCTAAAAAAGACACTCTCACCTCTAAGTTTCCTCATGTTTCATCATGTTCCTACTCTGAGCTCAAATAAAGTCCTCTTTTCTCATGTACACTCAAGTACACAAGATTAGTGGTTCAACAACGCAACAGGTCAGAAAGATTGATTTGTTTTGAAATATTAAAATGCTCAATTTTAATTAATATGAATAAGATTTTTAGACATTATCAACCTATGCTATTTCAGGTGATGATAAATATTTTACTTTCTTCCTCTAAAAAATCTATCATTCGACTAAATGGCTGAATTTTGAGTCAGGTTTAAGGATGGGGGGCAGGACCACAGTCAGGGAGAATGGGTTGAAGAAGCTTCAAATCTAACTCAGCTTCTGGTCTGGCCTGTTAAAATGACAAAGAAGTCAAAATCAAACCCAGAAAAATCCACAGCTCATCTCCAGACAGAGTTTTTCTTGCACATAAGCTGCACAGTTAGTACAAGTGGCTGCTGGTACTCTGCTCTAATTGTTCACAATACCAACACTAAGCTCAGTAACCACCACAGACTAAGGAGGTTTCAATTAGCACATTAGGATTACTTCTTATTTTATGTCAGAGGGAAAACTGGGGGAAGGGGTTGTTTGATTTTGCTTCATTTTAATAGCATCAAAATATGGCACTTACACACAAAATTTATCTGTCTTCTTTCCAACTTTCCAATTCTTCAAGCATTTACATATGTAATTTTCTCCCACTCATTTCTCTGGCACAATCCATATTGCCATTTACTGTAATTTCTTAGCTGTTTGCTCAGGAATTGCTTTGGGCCAGAGTTTGGGAAATGAATGAGAAAAGTTATGAAGATCTGGGATGCAACCTCCCATTGCTGACTTCAATGTCAATGGCATGTTCACAGCTAATGCGGTGTCTACCTGAGCACTGATCATTTTTTGACACTGTAATACCTATTCCAAATTTTCATTAATCTAAACAATTAGGTTTAAACATGTGACATCATAGTCCAACTTGAAACAAACTTTGTCTTGTTATCTCAGCAAAAAAATCATACTGCACTCTGATGTAGGAAGAATTGACCTGTTCCAAAACCCACTAATATCAATGAAAGAATTGTGTATTTTCCTCAACATGTCTGTGGTAATTTCAATACTCAAGACTTTCAATTAACATCTGTTTTTGCCATGTTTCCATGTTCTATGGGGCAACATGGAAACTATGATTTTTCCACAGCCTCTCTGAGTTACATGTACCAAATTCCCATTGAGTGGAACTGCTAGTTTCTTTTCTGAGAATCACTCTATTTTTTGGCAGAAGACAACATCTAAAAATACATTCTGTATAGTGGTAAGTTGTAAACTTCCTAAGACTATAAAAATCAACTACCTCAAAAAGTACTATTGATTTTCAAGAAATCAATTTGAAAGGTGGCATTCAACAATATTCATATATTTTTAGCATACTACTTCTGTAAGTGATGTCATTATTTTTACCAATATTATTATATTAAGAGAATAAATCATCATATCTCTATATGAACTAATGGACAAGTATTGTGTTTGTGAGAAATTATGACTGGTGTTAAGGCACTTTGTAACCAATGAAAAAGAATTGGTTTAAATATGTTTTGCTTCTCTGTACCTCAGGTTTGAAGATGTGGTACTGTTATCTGGGAACACTGCCATACAAAGATCCCTTACACTTGCAATAGTCTCTTATTCGTCCTACTACAAGGGAGAAAGTCTCCTCAAGTTAATGAAAGGACTCTCAGTGAGTTTAGTTGTAACTCGACTTATTCTTATTTACCTTATTTACCAGACCATTAAAATTCCACAAGATTGATATTACATGTGGATGAGCAAAAAAAATGCAAAATGTTAGCAAATGCAAAAAAAAAAAAAGGCATAAACAAACCAGTTTTACAGAAAAATGCACTGCTTATAAGAGAATTAAAGATACCATTGGCTCCCTGGAGAAAACCCAGAATTTGATTGTCATTAGAGAACTAAGTTGAAAAAATGACAGAAAAATTCCTAAGACAGACACATAAGCAGAAGAAAACACTAATAAATCTCCTAGTGAAATGGAAAGCCAGAGAACTTCTCACTATCCATTATAAAAAAAAATAAAATATAAAAAATTCCTTATACACAGTTTCAGATTTTAAAAACCCAATGATTGTAGCATTCCCCCAACAGAAAAATTACATATCTATAACAAAAAAAAAAAACAAAAAAAAGAGTGAATCTGTGGGCAATCATATTACATATTTCAGGAGAAATCTTCTAATTACTTTCTTTCATTGTTAATTTATTTGGTAGAGCCAAATTACAGTACAGGTAAACATATCCAACCCATGTCACTGACTTCAGTCATAAATGATGAGATATATGCCTAGTAGAATTAGAAAATCAGATAGATTTTATTCCCTGATTTATGTAAAAATAATTTAAATGAACTCTATCTACACAAGATTAAGAGAGCCACTCAAATGAGGAAGATTAATATGGTTCTGCTCTACAAACCCTCTGGATTGCCTCAGCTTGTGAGACTGTGTGCCAACAAAAGTTCTTTAAAAAAAAAAAAACAAACCTGCTAATTTTAAAAGAACAATATAATAAAGGTGACTCTAACAATGAAGCAAAAAGATGAAGTTACCAGTTCCAACATCTCTTCTGACATCTAGATACTGAAAAGTGTAGCTGTCCATCAGGCAGCCAAATGAGAAAAGGTAATCCCACACTCAGTGGAAAATGCGTTGCCCACAAGAGGCAAAACAAGATGACTCAGTGATACAGTTTGAAATTCTCAGCTTCTCTAGCGCTTTCATTTCAGAGTGAAGGTTATTTATACAGTTATTTTTTTCTAGCATTACATATGGATAATGAAAATTCCCCTTACTTAACTGTACCTTTCAAAGGACAGAGAAGTAATTTTCTCACAAACACGCTGCAGTAACTCTTTGGCCTGACATTTACTTTTTTTCATCTCAGCTGGCACGAAGAACTGTGATTTTTAAACAACATTTTGTTTTACTGGGCAGTGCACCAAGGAATCAGTCCAGAGAGGGACTTAGTACCAAAAAACAGAACACCTACGTTCAGGCACTTGGACCTAAAATGGAAATCAAACCCAACGGTGAATGTCTAGGCAAGGCACTTCAGAGCAGTTTCCAAAGTGACTCTCATGCTCAATGAGGAGCCCCGTGGACAAGCCAGTAAGAAACACTACAAAAACAGATATAACAGAAGGCTTGTGCCTTTCTGGGGCACCTCGTTTGGTGCTCAAGGGCATCTTGCCACTCTGGAATCGCAGCTCAGACTCTCCCTGGAAAAGCATGTACCTTTCAAGTCCTTACTGTTGGAATATTTTTCTTTTTTTCCCTTTCATAATACATCTAGCAGAGGCACTAACTTGAGACTACCACTCAATTATACCTCTGCTCAGTTTCCTTTTTCTTATTATGAGGTGTCAGTCCACATGTTCCACCTCTAGAGAGTGCCATAATACTAAACAGGCTGCAGGAAGAACTGGATGTTTCTTACAGCCTCAACCGCTATCCTACTAAGTTTTTTTTGCTTGTAATTATTTTCTATATGGTGATGCATGAACGTGTCACCTTCACACTTTCAAATAGTTCATAATCTGATGATTAGAAGAAGATCCTGAAAGATATGAAGAGATGGAAGTTTGATTCTCCCAGAAGTGATAATGAAATGTCAGTTCATGCAATAATGTACCACATGTAGATCAACACTGAGCATCTGTATAGAGATCAAATGCTATGGCAAGTCTCTTATGCAGAGGCAGAGTGCTGTTTCTTTTGGGATCACACTGAAAAATACTGAGCATCAGTAGCAGACTAGAAAAACTCCATGTCTAGTCAATAAATTATATAAAGTTACTGAAAACATTGGTCATTTTCAACAGTGCTTAAGAAGAGCAATTGGCATGTTCTGTTACGCAATTTTGAGACAGGCAGAGTCTGAAAACTCTTAGAACAGGGAGAGCTGATCTTTTCTGCACTAGACCCAACATTAATTCAGGATACAAAAAAGTGAAAATGAAGTAGAACCTATGAATTTATTCCAGCTTCTATTGCTTATTTTAATAATTACTGATGAAGTCCCAAACCCCTGTTATATCACGCTAAGACCTTTCATCAGTTATAGCAAAAACTTGCCATACTCCTGACATCTGTCTGTAAGAACAAAATTACAGTCTGGAAATTACATCTATATTTATTATACCTGTGTTTATACCTATGTGCACCATAAAGCCATGAAGTTTATATTTTAAAAAGAAGGGTTCTTGTCATTACTTCTGAAGTATATTCAAATAAAACAACTGAACTCAAAGTAAGTTACTAAATTTATCTATGAACTTCAAGACAGAGTATCGCATATGCATAAAAGATGTGTGAAATATTATTTTTCTTTGTTATACAATAGTTTACCCCTGTTTAACAATGTTATGCACAGAGGGATGTACACTAAAGACATGCAAGTATGACTCACCATGGGTTTTTTCTTCCCTCTCTAAATATAGGTTTATAAACTGAAGTTAAGTGGGCAGGGTTTTTTCCCCTTCTCAAAACAGAAGTCGAAAAAACCACAGTGGTTTCTTTCCAGATAGACATTCCTTTTTAACAATAAGATTCAGCAAAAATTTAAAAATCCCAATTACTTAATAGAATATTAAAGCATCCTTGCTGAACTGGATTATATATTTGCTAAACTGCAATTATTGTCAGTTTTTCTAATTCAACATTCTAATTCAAATAGCACAGAAAACATGAAAAACCTTTAATGTTCTTCAAAACTTTTGCAGAAGAAAAGGTTTGATGGAAAGCAGAATTAGATTCTGGAGCTTATTTTTCATAGAGAATTCTTAAATTCATTCATAGGTTTAATGAGCATTCCCTTAAAGGTCACTGTTACTTATCCACTGGATGTTTTTCTGAGATAGTTAAAAGGCCTTACCTCAAATGCTTGAAAGGTTAATCCAACATTGTAGTTTTCTGATACTGTTATTTTCCACACACATTCCTTCATTGGTCTGTAGTCATCAGGATAATTGGGAGACTGGATCTGGCCTTCATTTTTGTGGATTTCACCTCCACAGATAGCTGATAAAAGCATAGAATTCTTACTGCCAATAATATTTTCTATTCCCCATACTCAAATTGACATTTTACGCTTCCTTTTTAAAACTAATGATAAGATTATTCTTGAGAAGACTTTAAAAGTCTATGAAGGACAAACTGTTAAAACCACAATCCATTTAAACCTCTATATGTATTTTAGTTAGTGAATATAATTCATCATTTCTAGTAGCATTAAACATATCTACAAAGTTCAGGAACATTTTGGAATCATAGATAATCCGAATCTATACATTTCACAGAATATATTTAAAAGGTCCAAATTATTTAATTTTACTTTTTGCTCACCTTTGAAATACATTTAATAAACATTCTTCGTTTATATTTACTAACCTTTAGAAAGAGCTGAGACAGAAATCCCAAATTTTATAATTATCTGTGCATTTTAACTTACAGTTTATCACTTAAAAGTTATACTGAATTTGAAAAAATAGCTAAGATAAATAAACAATATTTTCATGAAAAGTAAATGGGCCTTTAAGGGCCCACACTGATAATCATGTAAAGATCTGTGACTATCAACTAAATTATACAGTTTACTACCATAGATTAAATATTTAAGAAAACAGGCTCTATTTTAAACAGGTGAATGCTGACTTGCTAATAGTGTGTGTGAATGTCTCTAGTAAGTAATCCCAGCGCATAGAGAAAACTTGTCATGTTTTTCTGAAGAATAAACAGAAAATACTCAAGGAAATTTTTCAGTACACTAAGCACAAGAACACACGCATTTAGTTAACTGAATGACTGGTAAAAACCACTTATGAATATTATCATAGGTATGCCTGGAAAAAGAGTTCAAATAAAATTTGAAGACAGGAAATGCTTCAAAATGTTCTGTCTAGGAAGTTAACACCTGCTGTCTCTTTTTAGTAATAATATGCCATTTTTGTATTAGATTCTGTCTTTTTTAATATATAAAGGTATCCAGTTACTATTTTTTCTTCTGTAAACAAGTCATTTTCAATGCTGTAAGAGGCTTACCTTCATAGATTGCTGCAAAACCTTTCCCAACCCAGTTGCTGCTGCTGCGGAACTCGATCCACATCCTACTGTCCGAGGATGCGAGAACTTCTGGCAGTTTGTCACCACAAAACCTGCCTAAAAACATGCAACCAGTAACTGCATTTTCTGCCGCCTCTGAAGCCAAACGCTGCAAACATTTATACAAGTGTTTAACATTATAAACAGGAGTAGCATAACCAACTCAGTGGAACTATTCACATGCTTATGTTTAAACACGTGTTTCTGCAGAGCATGACCTAATACACAAAGATTTCATTACTAAGCATTCAGTACTTCATTTCATTGTAGTCAGGCTCACAAGTCTAAGTATAAAAACTCAGGGGAATTAAGTAGAGAAGTTATCATTACATATTGTTTCCATACATACAAACCTGGGCATTTTGGAGTTGGAAAGCGAGTACTAAACTTTAGAGAGGAACATAATCTAGCTCACAGTAATACCACTCATTGTGTCTAAGGACCAAAGAGATTTAAAAACTAATAATCAAATGACCCTAGACTATATTATCCTCTTAAATTCAGCCTAAGTAGGTGAAAGGGAGAAGGGAACAAGAGAAAAGAATAATTACAATCTGGTCTTAATTGTTTCTTCTTTTCTTTTTAAGGCCAAAAGAATAGGCACCACTGCTAAAAAGCTGTTCTCTGCTCCTGCCTCCTTTTCTTTTTTCTTTTTTTTCTTTTCTATTTTTTCCCCCACTATTATTAAACTGTGGCTGTTAGGACGCTAACAAATAGCTTCAGTGCTCATTCTAAAAACAACAAAACTGACCCAAGAAGTTGGAGACATTCACATTTCCTATGGGCCTGAAATCTCCAGTTTCAAATAGAGGAGATCATGGGATATCAAAATGACCTTCTGAATTGGGCAGTGCCATTGTGGGCTGTGAAATCTCCCCACCAACCTCTGAATTAAGAAAAGAATGGCTGCAGCTTCTGGCATATTAGTTGCCACTCTAAATTCATTATTGCTTTGCCTGTCTTTTCTCTGCAAGAGCAGGGAAGGACATGCAAAGTAGAAATAGAAGTAATCTTCTATTCCTAATTTTGAAAGTACAAGAACAGAGCTCATAAGTACAACTCTAGAGTGGGTGCTCTCACCCACAGTGTATGTGCTCATCACGTGCTGTATGGGTTTCCCATCACATGCTCTAAAGGTTTTTCTGTGTACTCTTTCTCCATTTCCATGAACAAAACTATGGCAACTTCACATTTCAATATCCATAAGCAAAGCAAAAAGTTTCACATTTTGTAGTTTCCATCTTTCCACACATGCAGCTGAGTAACAGCTAGATGCAATGAAAGGAAGGCTGAAGGCTTGAAGTGAGGGCTTGAAGTAAAATAAACTACTTATTTGAGGCCATTTAGAGGTTTCTTCCCATTACCAAGTCTAGATACATTCTGGACACCTAAAATCTAAGAGGTTTGTTCTGGGTTCAGCAGCAAGCAAGTCCACTGAACTCCATGAGTACAGTAACTATGGATAGTTGCATACCAAGCAGAGGTGATTTTCTCCAGTAGCCATCTCTTACTTCAATATAATCGTACCAACAGAGACTGCTCTTGTAAAGGTCCATGGTGGTGAAGTTTAAAACAATCTGCAATCACAGAACACCTAATTAAATCACATGTGGTTACTAGAAAATGATCACAACAACATTCTGCAAAACTAAAGTCAGCATAGAAGGGTTACCTGTAACTGGAGTCTAACTACTTAGACACCCAGCCTCTCAGATTTTTATAGTAAGTAAAAGTTGTCTGGGAACATTAAAAGTTTTTTATTTAATCTTGAGGGGTTTCAAGACCAACTACTCATTAATTCCTTACAGGGAGCTTATCACTGAGAAATAAAAAATTGAGAATGCTAGTAAGGCAATATAATGTGTAAATATAGTTTTAAGTATGTTATTTGATAAACTTCCTGCCAATTCTTCTTCTGTTCAATTCCAACTATAATCAGCACTGACAGTTGTAAAAAAAAGTTATTTTGGTTTGTGTTTCCCTCTACTACTGTTTTGACAAGATAATTTACTTTCAGACAAGTTAAGCATTGACAATAGTGGAGAGTAATGCTGAAGACAGCATCACTAAAACAAATAGTACATATTCTCTTAATGACTCTTTATGAAACTATAATAAAGCTTTTTATACAGAAATCTGAGTTCTGTGTGTTTCTAGAACTTTTGAACTTGGACTTTAAGCACATCTGTAAATAGACATATTTTCAATACTTAATACCTGGACTATCCTAGACTGTTACATTATTCCACTTTGGTTTAGAAGTACTAAACTGCCATAAACTTACGCTTTTTACAAATACACCTAAATCCAATGAAAGGGCGTGAATTGGAAATTATTTTATAATATATGAGTGATTTTTAATCTTCTTGTTCGGAATTATCTCTGCAATTGCAGGACATGATCCTAAGACTGACCATATGAGCACCCAAGTGGTTTTATATTTAGCTTTGATCCCAGGAACTCAAAACTGAAACCTGCTATTATAAAGCAAACATGAATTGCTGCACAGTAGCAAATACCTTGCACTGCAAAATATATCTCCATGAAAGCCTATGAAGCAGCTGTGAGTGTTAGCTGAAAGGAGAGGAATTTACCCTTAGTCCAGCTGCAAGAAGGAAATACAACACCATAACTGGAACAATGGGCCCAGAGTGTCAGATGGGATGGTTTACTTCCACCTCCTCTGAAGGCATCAATTGTCTCTCCAACCACAACATAGTACATTATTAAACCAGATGGGCAGAACTTTTTCAGACTGTTTAATTTTAAGAAGATAAAAACTATTGGAGGAAGCTAATTTAAAGATAACAAAGCTTAGTTGTTTGGGTGCATAGATGGTAGAGAGTCACAGTAAGACTTCAAACAATGTAAAAGGGACGCAGTTTTTCACAGCAAAAGACTATGTGTCTTAACATTAGGCTAGCAGGGGTTTTCCTTTCACTTACTTTCCACAAAAAGTAACTAAATACATCCATATGAGCAATTACATTCTCAAGAATCCCCTTTGTTTTCAGTGGAGAATGGGAAGCTTTCTGAGTTACTCTTAAAAGCCGTATCTTCCTGTATCCCACAGGGCAGACACCGCAGAAGACCAGTGGAAGACCAAACTCACAGGTGATTCTATCCCGCTTTTACCTTTACTACCATGATGCCATGGGAAACAGAAAACATCTGTAAGGCCACACATAAAATCCAACAGCCAGAAGTCCTGTACAGTGAGGCACATTATGCTGGCAGCCACAGCTTTGTGGGATGAAGGTATGGGACAAGAAGCATGCCAAGGACCATCAGAACAGCACTGAATAAATGCATACTTGTTCTGATGGTTAAATATGGCCAAACATTCATATCCAGAAGCTGCTACCACATCCACAAAACCTGCAAAAGTGTTGCTTAAACAGCACTGTGCCTCTAACACTGTTCTCCACAGGCACATCCTGCAAGCAGCTTTGGTATGTCTTTAGCACATGCAACAAATATAGCCTGTCCTCTCTATTTGCTCTCTTCCTTCTGTCATTTTAGGGCCAAAAAGGGAGGCAATAATTTAGTCTCAGATCTATATGCAGAGAATGTTCTGCTTCAATGTTAGTTTGATACTTCTGAAATATATTTTATGTTAACTCATGTTCAGGTTCCCATTGGCACTCTGATTCATAAGGACCTATAACAATGAATAGCCGAATTATATTGCAGGCTTCCTTCCTGAGCTTAGGAATAAAAACGGACTAATGTGAAATAAGACACAAATGCTGTGCAATCCCTTCTCTACAATGCAATAGAAATTACAGTATAAATTAATATACTTAAGGAAAACATGTTCCTTATGCTGAAAGGTTTGCAATAATAGATATTCTAATATCAACTTTTCACACTTCTTCTAACTTACATGCACCCTTTCCCAGATGTCTAACCCACAAAACTTTTACTATTCAGGCAGTCCTTCAGGAACATGAACTGAAGAAATAAACAAACAAATACCACCAGAATTCAAAACCCACCTCCTTACCATATTATTCTCCATGAGAAATATGCAGATCTGGCTAAAAGTACAATTATTCATATGCCTTCCCCTGCTTCAGTTTTTTATTACATTTATAAGTGCTATTTGAATCTACCTCTGATGATGGCAGAAAGGTCCTGTATATTCTCTCATTCACACAGCAATTCTGTCTGTCCTTTGCAGACTGCTTCTTTTCTAATTTGTCCTTCAAATAAAGAAGCCTCACCAACTACAAAATTTTTGTTCTACTCAGCTCATCCACTTTGCAGTTCAGATTCCTTCTAAACTTTCCTTTTTTTCCTGAGTGTCTCAGACAGATAGCTCTGTATCCTGCTGTACTACTTGAAAACTCTACTGCCCGCAACAGTCTCCTTCTCTTTTTCCACTCATGCCCACCTCACCTCAGCAGTGCAGGCAAATGGATTCGCAAAGGGGAGCCTTTTTCTCTGCCCAGATGAGATGCAGATGGATGGTTTAGGTTCAGACCACCTTCCACATCTGCTTAAGCTAACCCAGCTGGCTCTGTTGGAAGCAACTTATGGAAGCCACACTCATGGAAGCTATAGCTCCTTCACTGGCTCAGCTGTGCAGAGCCTTGAGGTCTCTCACCAGTCCAGCCACAAGTTTTCCATTTTTCATGACACAGCTGAAACACCGTATTTCTCTGTTCTACGTTTGGAAATTTGCCTTTTTTAAAACCCTAGCTGCCAGGACAGAGTTGGGAAAAGAATGGTTTTACTTTGGTGTTATCATGCCATTGTTTCAAAAGTGCTGCTATCTAAATGGAAACCATTAAAATTTAATAAGCCTCCTCAATAGCCCCTGCCTTTGAAACTAGATGAGATAACCGTCACAGCCTTTTCTCACTCTGACAAGCCAAGGTATTTGATGACACAGCAATTCCTTAACATTGACCAGAATTCATTAGCTGTACATAGGCAGAACCCCCAGTCTGTCACAGCATGATTTCTGGTTGGGAACCAAACAAGTAGAAATATATTTAAGATTCTGATTTGCAATTCTGGAAAGCATTAAATAGAGCTAACCAAGGCAGAGCTTGTTCAAGGGGATAGGATGGCTGAAATTCTTCATAGGAAAAACAATCAATGGGTATTTGTCAGCACAATCAAGGAATTACTGCTTACACAGCAGATTCAGTTGTGCTACTGCAGCTTCTGAGAGAATATATCACGCCTCCTACTGCCTGGGCTAAGAAAGCTAAAAATATATTGTAAACACCAGGTAGCATTAAGTTTTCTGTAGGTGGCATTTTTCCCCGTGTCAATCAAGGATTTATCTATCTGTCCTATTTCATCATTCATGTAAAATACTAAGGAAAGTAATATAACTTACTCAAAAAGGTGAATTCAAAAAAACCACACTGGCACAGTTGCAACTCCCCATGCCAACAAAATTTCTACACACCAGAAGGCAGGGTTCATCCTGGCACAAGGCATACAGTATTACTAACATCATCCTCCCCCAGAGATTTTTCTGTATATAGATGTATTATGTACAAATCTTAAATCTTGAGAGCAAGTAAAAGGTGAATGAACTGCCTTGTTTTAGTAATAGGGATGAACACATTTTAGGTTGAGCTGCCAATTTATGATGCCTATCAATAAAAGGAATGCTACAGCTAGTGCATACCCCTGCAGTCCAATCCTTCTTGAATTTTACTGCCATCAAAGATCAGAAGTGTCTGTACTTGCAGAAAGCAGCGTCGATAGAAGTCCTCCAAACTATGGTCAAACAGCACAATGTAAAATCTCAATAAACAAGAGACAAGAGCTAGACAATCTGGACTGATGCTTTTTCAGTTTATTTTTAGGTGACTAAAGTGCTTACTGCCATTTCAGAACATGATGTGATGTACTTATACATACTCTAACCTCCACACAACATTCTCGAGATCTATCAGGGTCAAATCAGCAAACAAATGAACAAAAATTTAAATAATCTTGTATATTCCCTGTATAATGTGAATATTACCCTGAATGAAACACACAATAGTTAAGATTTAGAGCTCCTTCCTGCTATCTCCTATTCACATCAAGCACTTGCTGTAAATAGGTCTGTTATCTCAAGACAGACAATATCCTATGGGAACAGCACCGACAAAACAGACTTTTTGACATTAGCACAAACACCTTTAATTCATTCTTGCAGAATTATATGGAGACTATGAGAGCTGGAGGTCGGAACAGGGCATAACAGACATGACTCATCACATCAAATTTCAATCAGAACATTCTGTTAAGTCTTTTTCCCCATTTGGGGAAGGGGGTAAGATGGGAAGGGAGCCAGTTTTCTTACTTCAAGATAGGGGCTTTCTGCCATTAAGCTTTGGTACAGTGAATACAGTTCTAGTGGTGGTTGCAGTCTCAATGGTATTAGAAATGTATTGTAATTACACTAATATCCACAGATAGGTTTACATAAAGTTGGAGTATGATATGAATATGTAAGTGTGACCATTTTTGACCTCATACATTAATGCCATTTTCAAAAGCTAATAATAATTGTAGATGAACTCTACAATTTTCATTTTTTTTTTTAGTTCAGAATAGAGAAGAAATCTAAGCCAGTTCTGTTGTAATCACAACAGCATCTAAGAAGCCACACAAATCGTGGGGACATAAAATTACCTATCTAGATCAATCTGCATATTTTATGCAAAGTTTCTCTTATTCATCTGTTTCCATTTGTTCTTCCTTGCCAACCTGCAGAGCCACCCACGCCCTCTTAGCACTGAGTGTGTTTATTTTTCCTCCTGTCCCTGGCTCTTGCCCAGAGGAGGGCAAATGCTTTCCAAATGACTGTTTTCATTCCCCACAGTGGCGAATGCTCTTACAGCTCCACAGCATCTATTAGCACATTAAGAACATATATTCTTGGTATCTACCAGGACCCTGGTAGAAAAAGAAACACAGAATAAAGTAATTCAGTCAGGAGAAAATTATGTCCACTATGGAGTAGGTGACCACTTACAAAACTGACCGAAGGATCTGGGGGCAAATGCTGGATTTTCCTCTTTGGACTTTCCAGTACTGAGGCTGGTGTTAGGTTCTATATTTCACTCCTCAGGCTGCATTTGACTGCTTAATATCAGCCATTGGTTCTTGTAAAGGAACTTACATCCTTTTTTGCTGCCCCCCCCCCCGCAGATTTTGTCTCAGTGAAACTTCCCGTCACTCCCTCTCTCCTTTATTTTGAGGCAGGCTAATATTTGAGCCAATACTTTAAGATTCAAATAGCATGTTTTTAAAGCATATACAAGAAGATCAGGATTTGCGTTCAGTAGGATGGCACACTCCTCTCCCTAAACTACTCACCAAGCCAAGTTCCCTCCTGCCACTTTTCCTCCTAAAACTGATATCCAGGAAGTAAAACTATATGCACTAGAACTGATACCAGGAAACAGCTATAATGACACTTTCTTTACCCCATGTTCTTACTGTTTCACTTCAGAAACACATCATTCAACATACTGAGAGCTTCCTTAGGCAGAACCCAGCTATCAGTCCCACACAGCTCATTCAGCCCATGCTGAAAAAGAGATCATTCAGAAGCCTGAACTACTTCTTCCACCTTTACACTGAAGCACCAACTGAACTGGAAGCCAGTTTTGAAGAGATTTCATGATGCAAATGTGTAGCAGATTGAAATCACGCCTTCATTTCCCATGGACAGCTGCCAAATAGATGATGTGGTTCTAATGCCACAGACCAAAGTCAAGTCTATAGCACATAGTTCATGGTCTCATTTTTTATGGCATACCATGTTTTCAATTATTATACAAGCTTTAAACTTAAATGAAAAGCTGAATTAACACAACGTTTTATTTTGAAAATAGTATCTATGTTTAGCTGAGGGAATGCTAAAATACCTTCTCCCCTGGGGTCACAGAGATTCTCCATATGCAGTGTGTGTAGGAAGGGTAACCATTTGGAAATCCTGGAGAAGAAAAGTTGCCTGTAGATTCCTGCAGTGTTTCGCCACAGGCTGAAAGAAACAAAATACAGTAAAAATATAAAATTGAATGTGCCTAACAGAGAAAAATGCATCTTTTCAATATCTACTCTGAATATATTTAACTCACTGCGGATGCAGAATAGAAAACAGACTAGTTATTTTATGATTTGCTCAAAACAATGACTTTAAGCCATTCTGACATTCATTCCACTTTACACAGGATGTTTTTATTCTATGAACTATTTCACTTGTGTTCTGTCTGCTGACATAACCAAAATTACAGCAGTCTAAAATGTCACTGTTGTCAATCAACTGCAAAATTATATGTGTAACTTAACTTTGGTGAAAAAAAAGTTTGCCACACCATTAGATACCTCCTTTAAGAACTAAAACAAAAGTAAAACAAAGGTTGGCAAAGTATGACTGTCACCACACTGGAATTTCATCAGCGGTTTCACTTGCCCACGAGAGATTGATCTGACCTAAACTCATTCATTTATACTGGTATAGAAGACTAAACCCTATATTCAACAAAATCTCTTGTGACAGTGATTTGTAGACATACGAATAATAAAGCAAAGCAAATGTAAAGTCCTAAAATACTAAAGGCTTTTATATTCTTTATTATTGAAGGTTTTAGCACCCCTATCTCACTTGTCAATCATGCTCCTAGCTGCTGGCAGACTGGTTAATAATTCTCTTCACACTAAAGTATAACATTGAAAACTCCTGCCATTCTCCACGACTGAAACTGATCCTGGTAGGGTGTCGCACCTCAGTCAGTCATCTTTTTTGACCTTAATCAATTTGGTTTCACCCACCGATTTTGCAGGTGTGATATGAGAGACGTGAATTTGAGAGTATTATCCCATGACTGACAGTGTAATCAGATCTGCAGTGCTTTCAAATTACAGTGCTACCACTGCCAGCAGGTGAACTACTGTATCATCAAAATCTCAATGAATTATAAATGATCTGGAAAATCTTTAAATAAATGGGTACAAAGGAAGAGATTGCTTATGACAAAGACAGACAACACAGCTGTAAAGGCTGTCTTGTTAAAATGAGTCTAAAATGTAATCTGACAACCATACCATAGGCATAATCTACATTCAATCCATTAAATATACTCTCTGACACTGAAATGGTTATTGTGATGAGGAGAGAAAAGAGAGATTGGTGCAGGCCCCCAAAAATTTAATAGCTAAAGTCACCATCACAGTGTCCTTTAGGAGTGAAACAGAAAAAAAAAATTCTTTCCCTCCCCTCATTTAAAATATGTGGGTTTATCTTTTCAAAAAATGCAGGCAGATGCAGCAAATGACACATAGAAAAAGGGTATTCAGTGCTAAATAATTATTTCTGTACAAAGACTTTTCAATGAAAAGGCTATATCCATAATTAACCATAATTTATTTTTAACACAGCGATGAATGTAAACTTAAATAAATTGCAGAGTACCGTACTGGGTTACCCCAGCACTAGTGAACTGTATCGTAGCTTACAATGTGTCTATAAAGCGCTTAAGAGAAGGCCAAGAGTAAAACTGCAGTCTTGTACAGAGGTAGAGCAAAGCAGAACCCAAAGAGCAGATACGCTCTGCAGCAGATGCACTCATGACTCAGGAGATCTGTGAGAATCTAATTATTCCACTCACCACTTTTAGAGCCCTCTCTTGATCTTCCCCCCATGCATGGCTTTATTGAGACTACATGGCATCAGTGCAGTCTCATGAGGCATATAACCATACTTCAAGATTCTTTAGTACCCCTTCTGTGTGCTCTAGCTATAACTATTTCACCAACACTACTGTTACTAGGCAAGCCTAGAGCAGATGATATGATGAGAGACGGGGAATATTGACAAATATTGATTATGAAGTCATGTAATACACAAGGTGAAGTATGTAAGCAAAATGCCATCAAGGATGTGACATTTTGGTATGACATGAGATATCAGATCAAATGCAGTCCTGCAATGACTAAGAGAGAGAAGAAAGACTCTGGCATAACCAGCCCTTACTCTACTAAAGTCCCTAGATTACACCATTACAAAAATAAATACGTCAATGAATTATGCATAATAGCATTACAGTTTTGAAAAAAATTCAGAACTTTTCTTTCTTATACAGAGTGCAAGATTATTTTCTCCAGAACAGTAATAATACTCCAAGCTCCATATACAGAAGTTGTATATAGCCTTAAAACTACGGATTTTAAGTGTAAACGGCAACACTGAACATTTTGTTTTTCTAGGAATTATAAAATAAAACTACTTAATACAAAAAATTATCTTGTATCAGTATTAAATGCCTGGGAGAACTCTATCAGATCTAAATTTTCATAAATATATATATAAAATGAAATTATGGGAAGCATACAAAAACTGTAATTGGGTAACTTCTAAGAATTAACAGAATTTACAAAATATGTTTGGACTGTACATTTTCTACCACATTTATAATTTACTTTAAAACTTCTGGTGTCTCAAGGGAATTGTAACAAGAACATCTTATATCAATCAATAGCTGAATTAATTGTCTATGGAATCTGAGTTCCAGGTTGGCTTTCAGAGCCACTGTGGCAGGGTGATACTTGGACATTTCTTGTTTACAAGCACATTCCAATGCAATGGGTCAATGGTAGTTGGAACAATTAAAATTCTGTCACTAGAGAATGTAAGTTTTTCTCTGTAATTGGACTGCGGCAACTACAGTGTTTGTGATCAGACTTATAAAATAGTATATTACAAACATCTGACAGTCCGCTAATAATGATGTTCACTTTAGGAAAGAAATGTAGAAGGAAATTAGTGGTAAGAGCCACTTACTAAGAACTAATTTCAGTATATTTCATGTCAGAAGAAATTAATCACAACTTCAGTCTTACACACCTCTAATTTATAAAGCATCTGTATATTTTTATTCCATTGTTGATCATTAACATCACCAATATTTTCTCTGACAGTTTTTTCCTCCCTTTCAAATCTTATGCCTTACATCAATTTTACTAGGCTAGACCACTTGCAAAAATGCTACTTCAGCTCTCCCTCTCACCCCCCACATTCCAGTCAGAAAAACAATTTCCTATCTATTTTACAGCTTGAGAAGGTTAAACTTCTGATAAACTTTTCTTTGGTAAGGAAAGGGAAAATATTTCTGCATCACCTTGTAAGTATTAGCAATGGATGCAGGCAGCAAGTAGATTGCTTACACAAAGCAATTTCTACCAGTGAATTCTGCTGCAAGTGTTCAATTACACAGCCTGTGTATAATACCTCTTTGGGCTGGCCTATGCAAATGGCCAAGTTCCATTAAGGATTATAGTGAAATCTACCAACAACAAAGCCCAGATCCTCCAGGACACTTAGGGAACTAACTCTCATTCCTTTGTCCATCGCATTAGCAAATACATACTCTTGTACACTGTTAATTTAAGCTTATCCTTTCCCAAAGAGAATTAAGAACTTTACTACCTTTTACTCAGTCTCAAGTCTGTACAGCTATACACATATGGCATATAAAGCTGCCACAAACACCTAAAAATATCTGGTGCTGATAATGTACTTGTTAAAGAAAAAAAAACAAACCCAACAGTTTACTACAACGCACTGTCTTACTGTGGACTTGACTCCCTTTTATAATTATAGGGAAATGGTCTTAAGCTAAGAACCTTAATTAATAAAGGCTGACTTTTAAAGGTGAACACTAGAGATAGAAGCAATTTAAGCCTGAGGAACAGTGATAACAGCACATAAAAAGAGCCTTCATCTGCTCTTTTCCACACAAACTATCACAGACCCTGGCATTTTTAAATTTGCTGAACTTCGTCCCTTCCCCTTCTCTTCCTCTGAACAGCCCTCTCCTGCCAGTGTGAGCCTCCTTTCCCATCTACTCAGTCCCACTCTACCCACTTATTTCTTGTCCGTTCTGCCTAAGAGTATCCTACTTCATCATAGAATGGTTAGGGTTGGAAGGAACCTTAAAGTTTATCTAGTTCCAATTCCACTGACATGGGCAGGGATGCCTTCTACTAGACCAGGTTGCTCAAAGCACCATCCAGCCTGGCCTTGAACAACTCCAGGGATGGGGCAGCCACAGCTTCTCTGGGCAGCCTGCGCCAGTGCCTCACCATCCCCCACGGTAAATAACTTTTTCCTAATCTAAATGTACCCTCTTTCACGTTAAAGCCATTCTCCCTTGTCCTGTCCTACACACCCTTGTAAAAAGCCTCTCTCCAGATTTCTTGTGGGCCTCCTTTAGGTACTGTAAGCCTTCTCTTCTTCAGAAGAACAAACCCAGCTCTCTCAGCCTGTCTCCATAGCAGAGGTACTCCACCCCTCTGAGCATCTTTGTGGCCTCTTCTGGTCTTGCTCAAACAGGTCTACATCCTTCTTGTGTTGGGGGCCCCAGAGCTGGATGCAGTACTGCAGTGGGGTCTCACAAAAGCAGAAGAGAGTGGGAGAACCACCTGCCTTGACCTGGTGGTCATGATTCTTTTTATTCAGCACAGTACACAGCTGGCTTTCTGGGCTGTGAGTGCACACCGCCAGCTCATGTTGAGCTTCTTGTCAACAGCACCCCTAAGTCCTTCTCCTCAGGGCTGCTCCGAATCTATTCCCTACTCAGCCTCTACTTGAGCTTGGGATTGCCCTGGCCCAGGCACAGAACCTTGCACTTGGTCTTGATGAACTTCATGTGGTTTGTGCTGGCCCTCCTCTCGAGCCTGTCAAGGTCCCTCTGGATGGCATACCTTCCCTCCAGCATATCAACCACACCACAGAGCTTGGTCATCTCCCCTATTCTCCTGCTCCTATAAAACTGCATATGAATTTTAAATCAACTATAATTTCTATATAAAAATAGATGTGTTGAAATTTTTGTAGCTACACCAGAATAAAACATATTCTATTACTCCATTAGACAGTCTGAAAATCACTGTAATACACCCAGCCTTGAAGTTCAAGACCTGTTCTCAAATGCCAGGACAGTCAAAATTCAAAATCAGATTGGCAGAGAAAGGGAACTCAACTTAGTTGCTTGCTTTCTCCTTATTAATCATTGTGGAACGTTAGTCACTGTTAAAATGTAGCAGTAATGTTTTTTCTTTTGACAAAATTCTAAGCAAAAGTCAAAACCAAACCAAAATTACTTTTGATAGTTTGTTGAGTCCTGGCACTCACTCAGCTGATGAAAAACAGGTTATCAAATCTCATGCCTTGGCTTCATCAAGCTCAAAATATGTTGTTTTTCTTCTTTTTCAGTAACTAAACCCTTTCCTGAATAATAACCCTGAATATCCTGACTAGCTAAAACAACCTGGAAGGCTCAGCTGCCTCACTGCTGTGAAGATCAGCTGTATGCTCCAGCAGCTCTGTGCTCAACTTCATGGTCACAGGCCCCAGAAAATGCATCCAGCTTCTTGAACCAGAAACTGCTTGCAGGAATAACTAGAATTCCAAATAAGACATGCACAATGCCATAAAATCCTTTATCAAAGAACTGTGAATCTCCGTAAAACACTCATTTATTTAAGTTATGTTTTCTGTACTTTTGTCACATTGCATTGTCCTGTGATTCAGAAGTGATAGAAAACTGGTACAGTGGTGCAGTTTGGATCTAGTGTGAGAACAATGCTGATAACACACCGATGTTTTCAGTTGTTGCTAAGTAATTCTTACCCCAGTCAAGGACTTTCCAGTCTCATGCTCTGCCAGTGAGGAGGGGCACAAGAAGCTGGGAAGTAGAGACAGGACACCTCACCCAAACTAGCCAAAGAGGTATTCCATACTACAGCACATCATACCCAATATATAAACTGAGGGGAGTCACATGGAAGGGACTGGTCACCGCTCGGGTTGGGTTGAGGATCGGTCAGTGGTTGGTGAGCAATTGTATCATGCATCACCTGGGTTTCTCGGGGTTTGTTTCTCTCTCTCTTTTTCCTATTTTGTTATTGTTATTATTCTATTTTACTTTATTCCAATTATTAATTTGTTCTTATCTCAACCCCTGATTTTTACCTTTTTCTGATTCTCCTTCCCATCCCACTAGGGGTAGAGGAGGTGAGGAATAAGTGAGCAGCTACATGTTACTTAGTTGCTGGCTGGTTTTAAACCACAACATACATTTAAGGCAACACAAATGAACACATGAAACAATGATGATGTTACTAACTTTGAAATATTCACTGCTCTTTTATCATAAGCAGGCATCATGATTAACAAGTTTTGTCTGAAACAGGAAATACAGCACACCTCCAAAACCAACACAGCGTCAGCGATTTTACTGCTATATGCTACAGTGATCACATGATTCTTTTCATAAAACCGAAAGCTTTACATCTGAATTTTCAATCTCATTATTCCCTGGAAAATATATTATACCACAAGTACTTTGCAACTTTCACAGAGTTGCTTTCTCTATTGGATGTTTAAGTTTGTGCCATATTATTCAGTTATTCAGCTTCTATTAAAAATATTAACCAAAAAAAATATCATGGTAAATAGTGTGCTTTTTACAATTCATAGCAAAATCTTTTGACTTTTTCTCTCTTTTAAAAATCACTTTCTTTTACAGACTGGCTCATTTATGTAAGGCTAGAAAATCAATGTCTTTCATCCCAAAGTTTGTCCAAGGGAAGAGTCAGAAAAGGAGCATGATCCTGCAACCACCATTCTTTTTTTTTATCCTTCTGACTCCTGTTCACAAGTGCTGAAAAAAAATAGCTTACTTTTAAAGTCCACATTAAAGCTGAACAACCATGGGTTTTCAACACTGCGAAACTAGATTTCAACAAGACTTTCAAGCGTTGAAAGAAATAATAACTCATCATTACACATTTTAATGAATTATATGAAAAGGACATTTTCTCTGAACAACTTTTGAACATTAGGTCAAAATGCATACTGCATCTTTTTCAGTTGACTGAAAGTGCATGTTAGAGTATTATATTTGCACTAAACAGCCTAGGCTGCTTTTTTCCCCCTATCTTAAAGATATCAATGTGATCATAAGATACTAGCGACTTCTCAGTTTTAATTCTATAGACTATTTTTGCCTCCAATATTTGTCTTTTATCAAAATATGAATGTATGCTCTGTATTTATGAAATTGTTGCTCTCTGTATACTCTTAATAGAAATAATACTGCCAAGAAGAATGACATTGTTCAAATACCTCCTGTACGAAAAGGAAAGAGCAAAAATTATTCCAAAAGGAACAACTGTTAAAAGAAAATATGTTCAAGTGTTTTCTCCTCTGGTAGGCCCAGAGGCACTGTGCATGTTCTCATTATATACAGGTTATGATTCAGTGTACTTACAGCACAAAGGAAAAACATATTTCAGCTGTACAGTGTACATTAAATGCACATCACATGCCCCAGATCTTCAGCAGATCCCACTGCTGCTGATACAAATTTGAAGCAGCTCCATCACTTCAGTCCTGATCTCTCTTTTTAGTCCTTTTGTATTGATCAGGTGGTAAAGAGTAGCCATATATCTGACTTAAAACAGTTACTGAGACTTCATCAATTCCCATGAGGAGAAGGAGGGCTGTAACCTATGTGGCACAGAGCTCATAAGTCTAGCCTCCTACAAGGACCTTGCTCGCTAATTCTGGTGGAGAGATGGCACTTCTGAACTGCTTTGATTGACACCAAGTATTAAAACTGGTATCAGCCACAAGTATAGCAAGGAAAGTAAAACCTTTTGCTTTGAGATTCCCACCCCTCTGCCAACATTTAAAGAACTAGCACTAGAGAAGAGCAAGAAGCACAGGGTTGACTCCAGATTACTCCAGGCTTGCCACTGATGTCTCCGAGACAGTAACTCTACCCCAACATTGTTTTAAGATGAAACACTAACATGCATTGAAATTATAGGATACTAGAATTACGCAGAACATATTAAAATACTAAATGTATCTGTTAAGACTGTAGAAATTTTGTAACAATATTAAGCAGATAATCCATAAAAGACTTTAGAACTTAGTTGTCCTGGCTTGTTATTTGTCAAATTTTCAAAAAATATAATGTTTTAGCTCACTGCAATAATTTAATTTACTTCTTCTGCACTTTACTTAAATTCAAATAAGGGCCCAGTCAATATGCAATCCAGAAATGACATTAAACTTTTGGGGTTTTTTTTAGTCATTGAACAGCTAAGTAAAACAAAGACTGAAACGTCATGGAACTAAGTGTGGTTTCATGCAATTTATCTGTCCTTAAGTGTCTTGCATTCCAGAGACCTTATCTGTAAGATTTTTTTATGATTCAGTTCTTGAACTGCCTACATCAGTTGCCAACATGAAAGCAAACTACTGAGCAGCTGACTCAAAAAATTTATTGTTCCTCTTGAACAAGTTAAACAGTTGCTAGTATGTGGGTTTTGTTTGTTTGTGGTGCAATACCTGGACATCTATACAGCTTTCTTGCCTGTGCAATATCTCCTTTACTTAGACGAGTACGCTGGCCAATGGCAGGTCGTATACCATTATCATCACGGGAAGGGAGAATGGTATCCAGAAACATGCCCCTAAAAAAAATAAAAATAAAAATAGACCCCAAAACCCCCTATCAGGTTTCTGTCATAAAACTGAGTTTTATGAATGTATAATGCTATTTTGTAAATCTAAAGTTTACATCTGGCATAAATAAGACGGTAAAACTTTAAACACAGAAAACGTCATAGAAATTCCACAGGTTGGGAAATTTTACGCAAAGTTATCAAAAAAGAATCTTCTTTCAGTACATAATTAACACATCAGCTTTTATATTTCTGTTAGACAACAGGAGGGAAATCTCTTTCTATTGTTAAGACTGGACATGAGGAAAATTTTTCACAATGAGAGCAACCAGCCACTGGAATAATCTCCCCAGCGAAGTGGTGGATTCCCTAACACTGGGCACTTTTAAAGTCTGGCTGGACAGGGTGCTGGGACCTCTATTCATGCATTGCCTAGAAAGACTGGACCAGATAATCCTTGAAGTCTCTTTCAATCTGCTATTCTAAGATTCTTTGCTTGAAGACTACACAGGAAAAAAGCACTGCTGTTAAGCTGTCACTATATTGAAAAGAATTAATCATAAAATTATAGAATAAATACATACATTAGGCCCTATCACAGAATTCTTAATCACAGAGTTACTATTCCTTATAAAGGTTTTAAGGGAAGTCTTCAAATCTGAATTACACATGTAAAGAGAGCAAAAGTTAGGGACATTTGCCAGTCTTTGTTCTGATCAAGGGCTCTAGTTTCTCATGCTGTGCCAGTGAGGAGGGGCACGAGAAGCTGTGAGGGAGCGGAGCCAGAACAGCTGACCTGAACTAGCCAAAGGGATATTCCATTGCACAGAACAACATGCTCAGTACATAAACTGGGGGGAGTTGGCTGGGAGGGGTTAATTACTGTTTGGGGATGGGATGGGCAACAGTCGGTGTTTGGTGAGCAATTTTATTGTGCATCACTTGTTTTTCTTGTGGTTTATTCCTCTCTTTGCTTTTCCTTACTATTATTATTATTGATGCTATTATTATATTTCACTTTATTTCAATTATTAAACTGTTCTTATCTCAACCTGATGGTTTTACCTTCTTCTGATTCTCCTCCCCATCTCACAGGGAAGGGGAGAGTTGAGCGAGTGGCAGCTTGGTACTTAGTTGTGAATTGGGCTTAAACCAGCACACCACCGATTTTTAGTACAACCTGAAACTGATGCTATTCATACTTAAAGAAAACAACCAACTAACCAACCAACCAATCCTCCCTTAAATGACTTAGCACTTTAATAAGGGAATAATCTGTTACACTTTTAATACCACATGAACAACATCACTGTGCATGACTAGAATTTTACGATGTTTTGTGAGTTCTACTACTTATCTGGGTGAATAAAGTCTAACAAACAGCTGGCAATATGCCATAGTGAGCATGACTTATGTGTTCAAGATAAATCGGTGCAAATCAGCATGTGACCTCAAGGGTTTGCTGGTTGGTTTTAAACAGTATGAAGTAACAACCTCTTGTACCTTGGGGCAAGGCATGCCTACTCATGGCACTATCAGTTTTTGCCAGCTTGAAAGTGGTGAGATCAGGGCCCACAAATTAAATTATCTTGATGTTGTCATTGCCCTAGGACTCTGGGGGGGTTCCAGCTTATTTAATTACTCTATTTTATATAGATTAGTATAATCTCTTCCTTAAGGTAATGGCATCTGTACCTGGATTAAGCAATGAGACTAATATCTAGCTCATGCTGCTCATTCCCTTACACATAATTCACCCTGGAAGAGCATGTTGAATACATCCTTTGGTAAGATTTTTACTTTTTTTTTTTTTAATAATATCATTTATATTTAGGTGAACAAGCTCAAAGCATTTGCAAAGGCTGGTGAGATTTCTGGTGGTCTTCAGTTTACTTCAGAGTCTTAGACTGTCTAGTATTTTTTACCTTCAAATGCATAAATTGGATAAAAAAAGCTAAGGATATATCTTTTAAAACTAGCAAATTTTGTTAGTTTTGGTCTTTTCTTTTTTGCTTTTTTTTTTTCCGTTTAGGTTCCTTTTAATTTACATTTCTCTGGTATTTTTAGAAAGTAATTAGGTGAACTGCAACTTGGTATGAAATGTAACAGAAGGCCAGGTGAAAGACTCCACCTTCACTTCTCCAGAGTAGGGCTAGCCTATGTGAGCAGCTCATTCTATAGCTCCCACAACCATGCAGAGTTTCAGATGAAGCCCCATGTGAGGTACTATGGAACAGAGAATGGATCAGCCTGCAACAGGCCAGAGCAAAGCCAGCAGAACTCTTTATTATATGGGTTGGATGACAGTAATAGTCTGTACAAACAATAGAGAAGAAATCCTCAACCATTTCAATTATTTGGTTTTTCTGAATTCAACTTTTTGTTGAGACAATAAGAAAGTATTAGCAGGAAACGATGTTTCCAGACTATCTTGTCTTAAAATCTAAAAAAACTGAAGCAAGATCAAAAGGCTCCTTTGAAACTGAACAGAAACAAAATGTGTTTAAAGATATAATTAGATTATTCTGACTTAAAATAAACAAGCTGTCCTTTGACTGCTCTAAGAATACGATATCACACGGGATATTTCAAGCAATTTCAGGATACTTAAAAAGCATAGTTCTTAGCATTCACAGACAGGAATAGAATTAAAAGTCAAAAGGTATAACCTGAGACTCCAACCTTGAGAAGGTGTTCCTGGCATAGTGCATTATGCTGTCAAAGTCATAAGGTTCCCCAAGGGAGTTCACCTCTCCAGGCTCCATCTTCAAGAAGTTGTATTCTTGACCTATGAATGATTGATAATTGAAAGTTTGTTTAATATCTTCTTTTTGTACAGATAACACCAAGCAACGAAGATCCTAATCTAATAATTCATTAATCATTCATAAATCTTATCCATTTGGGAGTAACTGTGTGATTTTATTAGCCAGACATGTCTTCTGAAATACACATCAAATTTCCATATTTGGCATTTAGAAAGACTATTGTCATTCATCTAACCTATGTAAAGGCCCAACACATTATATTGCGCTTCACACAGAATCCATAAAATTTGCTGACTTTGTTCTTAATTCCAGAAAGAAATTTCTTTTGACAGCAGAATCTGGAAGAGCCCTCTTCACTGTAGACTCATTAGACTGGATATTAAATTAAAGAGACTTTGCTATAGCAAAGGCTACTCTCTGAGCCCCCATATAATACAAACACTACAAAGTCATATATCCAAGAGTCAGCTGTTGCAATTTAACAACAGCAGAAGAATTATACTTAGTTCATAATTCCAGACCAGAAAATCTTTGTTCTAATCACTGTAGTGAGAGATGCAAAGAACCGCTTACTCCAATTCATATTCCCATTCATATCCTGCAAAATTCTGCAGTGGGACTAACATCATTAACCAACATAATTTGCATAACAACAGAATCCAAATGTATTGTGGTCATGACTTCCTGATCCCATTTAGTGATCCTCAAACTCAGGCCGCACCACAAGAGGTGGTTAAATCCAGAAACTAGAGAGACAACTGAAAGGAGAGAACAGGAGGCTGAGTATGGCACTCCAGCTGATTTTCCCCACCACAGAAAAATGCATTTATAGCATCTACACAAGTCAATGACACATAGAGAACAGAAGGAAGGCTTGAATGCACATGTCCTTTCAGGACATCTGAGACTTGTGGGAGTGTGTATCAACTGTGAGTCACCTTCCAAGTCCTAGTTGTGGTGGCAAAGATTTATTGCATCTCATGTCTATTTTGTTTTAAAACACAGACAAATACTCCAAGCTATCATTGGGCAATTTCTGATTTCGCTCCTTCTCGTGCAGAGAATTTTCGTAAGTCAGAAACAGTATTTCATAAAGACCGTGCACGTTTATGAACGTTGAAAATGAACATGCTAGGTTGTTTCCCATCTTGCTCACACAACAAAAATATGGGCACAGCAGCTAGACTGACAAAGAGATGAGTCACACTTTAAAGTTCTTACGTTCCTCAGATGCTTTATCTCAGCAGCACCTAAGCCACTGGGTAAAGCTGCAAGCTCTATAAGCAACAAGTAATGTAGAAACCATGGGAACACCACCCATCTTTGTTACAGATTCAAAGTCCTCAGCTTACCTTTCAGGTCTAAACCTCTTGGGCAACTAAAAAGCTATTGATATGTTTGTACTTATAATTCAGTAAAGACTAAGAAAGAAAAGCCCTTTCTCAAGCACAGAAACATGACTTTTAAAGGTGTTCCTTCAAAGTTTTGAGCATGATTACTATTTCTCTCCTTCTAGCCAGTACTACTTAATGCCTTGCTACTTGGCCAGATCATTAGAAAAGACAGTATTTTAGTCTCAGTATTTCATTTATAATCAGCTGAGAACAGTCTAGCTAAGAGGAATAGCAGGCAGACATGCTCATTTGCTGTTCAGTTAATTTCTGCTATTCGGCACTCAGATTTAAGGGAGTTGAGCAGATGAAGGAAACACCAAAATTAAACAGGTTTGGTTGGGCTGTTCCCCCACACACAATAAAAGCCCCCACCATAATTATCAGAATATCTCACCAGGCTGGATGTTTTCTCTAATGATGGTGACATGGTCATCACGGTCTGGTCGTGTATGTTCGTGCCAAAAACCTATCACATGACCCAACTCATGGACAACTATACCAAATTTATCACAGTTCTTGCCAATAGATATAGCCTGAGGGCCATTTCCCCTTCGACCCACATAAGAACAGCACCTGTAATTAAAACACAAACACAGATGACAGTTTCCATACATGCGTCTACAAACCCTATAAGAAATTTTTAAAACATGAGAAAATATTATATTAAAAAAATCATCATGCAGAGGGAAGCAGAAAGAATAAGTAAAGACAAGGTTTCTTCTGTGCCATACCTCACAGCTTGACAACACTCACCAGACTCTTGGCTCACTCAGATCTGATAAATTTGCTTTATTTTGAACGGAAAAGTCACCCTACTTCATTAGTTCCATCTATAAAGGGTGCAGAAGTGATGCAAGTAGTCCTTTAAAATACTAAATTTGCATGCAGTTGAAAATATAGATGGAAGGCATGCTGAATGGGATGCGATGGCACTTTGAAAACCCTTTCCATTTCTTTTTATTTCTCTAACTATGGTTGATGTACAATATCTTTTGCAAAAACAATATGAGGCTGAATGCTCTGAATACATGCAAAACATTTTTTGACCCCACTCCTGTTTTCTTGCAATAGGAACCTCAGTCCCAGAAAGTTGTATTTGCGCAACAAAAAAAAAAGCAACACAAACAACCCCCAAAAAACCCTGCTTCACAACTGCTCTCATGTTTCATTCCTGTTTCACTGTACTTCCATGATTCCAATGTAAACTTATGGAACAGAGATGCCTTTTTCAGCATTCACACTGTCAGCATTTATCCAAGATGTCTGCTTTTTTGGTTAGGAAAAAAAAAGTCTGCTGACTCTGCAAGCAAAAGGAGAGAAAGGAGAGTAAAGCATATCCTGCCAAAATGGAAGACAACTTCAGGTTTCACAGGCTGATTCATTGTCACCTCTAAAGATTTAAATATTTCATGACTTCATTATATTCCCTAGTAAAACCCTGATTTCCTGTATCTGCTCTGTAAATTCTGCAGTCTGTCATGTGGAATGTAATTTTACTGAGCAGATTACATCCTCCTTTTTCCCCTTTAAAAACAAACAAACCAACCAAACAAAACAATACAAAACCCCACATTTTCGGAGGCAACATTTCCACAGCACAATATATTTGGTCCTTGAGGAGTGTGGAAAATGATGCTAGTGTGGAAAATGATCCCATCCTCCATATGCCTCTGTGGGCAATAAAAGAAGAGCAGCTATGGGAACAATACTGATAGCAGATGAAATTCTACAGCCATCATTGGCCTACATTTCAGGTTTTATGGTGGCAAAGAGACTTTTAATTTTTGTGTGTCTGTCCTGGTTGGTCTCCTTCATTGATTTTTGTTAGTCTAGTACAACTAGAGTTTTAAAATATGACTATTAGAGAAGTACAGCCATGGAATTTCAGCTCACGATTCCTGTTCTTAGTAAAGCATACACTGGCTTTGCACTAATGGTTAAAATCAAGGAAAGATACACCAAAAAACTATAGTAATATCTTAAAATTATAAAGGCTACACAAGTTACTTTATAGAAGAATGTATAACAGCAGCCTAGGAGGGTTGTACCAAGAATTCTGAAGCTTGAAAATACTGTTCAGAAAAATTATTGTTTACATTACAATCATTCCTTGCTCTCTCAACTGCTTCCCAAGTATTCCACACTCAAAACAAGTTAACTGATTTCTTTGTGCTTTGGTTAGTTCCAAGGATAGGTACAAATCACCTTTTTAGGTCAAAGTATTGAATTAGGCTCAGTGCTTCAGCTAGAGTTGTGCAATGCCATGTTTAATTAATTTCTTAAGGTTTCTTCCCTTGATAGCTCACTTCAAGGCAGGTAAATGAAAACAATGGCAATTTAGACTCCCTGTTATAACTCTGTGCTATTGTCAAGGTTGCAGGTTTAAGTACTACTGTCACAGAACACAGTAAAAAAAAAAACTGTGTATTGGTCTGTGTATTTCCCTCACTCTACATAAACACAAAATTACTACTTATAATATTTATGATATAGAAATATTACCATGAACACTGATATAAATAACAGTAATGGGAAAAAATACCTTAAGATGTGCCCTAAAATACAGCGTAAGTGATGTAAAGGAGCAACAGATGGCAGAAATAAGATTAAAATATACATTTAGAACAGTTACACCATTTTATCTTATGATGCCACAGTGGATTTCACCTTTGCACCTGACACGCTGACATGGTTTTGCTTGATATATTTTCAGACTGCATGTTTGTAGAATAAATATTATGACTACACGTGAATATGTAAACATAATTCAAGCACTACAGATATTTTCAAGATCAATTTTACCTGGGTTTTTATCTTCCAGTAGTCACTGAACTATTTGAATATGTGTCTATTGTGCAATAAGGAAACTATCATAGTTCATACACTCTCTTAGTCACTTGTGCTCACCCAAGTGAGAAAATAGTTTGGAATCTTAAGAAGGTTGGCATGTTTTGTTGATTTTTTTAAACCCTCCCTCACAGTGTTATTTACTGTCCCATCCATTTAGAGAGGGAATGCTGGAGTACACACTTAGAGCAAAAGGCAGAATTTTCTGTAACTCTTCATTCAGAAAAGTTCATTTATTTAAAAAACCATTAAAGATCTTCTCAGTATAGAATTCCCAATTCACTGTCATAGACATTATGTACACTGAATAAGTTTATCAGAGTTCCTAGGTCCCAGACTTCAAATCTTTTAGAAAACACTGCATCCTATCTTTGAACACTCTGAAGCAAGGAGGATGTGGCATTTGCCTTAGCTGTCTAAAGGAAACCATGGTAGAAAACATAAGAATCAATCAAATTAAGCAATCCACATTCTGGTCAGCATGTCATCTTTTTCATATTAGAGTTCCATTTAGCCTATCATCTGGTCCCTCCACCCAACACCTGCAAAGCCAATGAGAGCACATGCCATCACTTCTTTGTGGGTCATTGATAAAGACTAAACAGGACAGGTCCCAGGATAGGCCTTTGTGATACTACACTTTCAGTAACAGTGTGAGTCCAAGCTTTTAACCACAATCCTCCAAGCCCAGCTACACATCCAATTTTAACTTATCTAGTTCTCCTTTCATCTATAGCCCTGAAAAATATACCTTGGGGATAACTTCAAAACCTTTATGATGTGAATACAACACATAATAGCAGTGCAAGAAAGATTGATAAGAATAAAGTTAGGATAACCATGCAATATTACGAAAAAGCAGAACAGACTCTTTAGTTTAAAACAGTTTAAAAACATCTGCTCAGTCTTCCCGTTTACCACTGCTTGGAAACGCTATAAAGAAATATTGCAATGCAGAACTAAAGAACATTAAGCATTATTTATAGCTTAAAGCAAATCAATATGTTATTAAGACTGTAGGTTGTAGAATACCTAATACAATTTCATTAGTTTGAACATGCTTGTATTACTGATTTTATGTATGTTATATGCTTCAACTCCATCCTAGGTGAAATCCAGACAGCTAGCAAAGACATATTTGGTGGCTTAAAAATTTCATAGATTGTCAATATAAGTGACACTTTGGAGACAACTAGAGAAGAAGGAAAAACTGGAAAATACAGTACCCTCTGCAATGTCTCCAGCTCTGCTTTTACTGACACTATTCACAGCAAGGGAAAAAAAACAAACAACAAAACAACAAAATTTTAACTACAGCCTCTCTCTTCCTGTCCTTTTTACTTCGTTTGGACCAAAAGAGGATTTAACCTTTTAAGACTGTGCCCTGTGTCTTGGAAAAGGTCAGGCAATAGCTATGCAATAATAGCAGAACAACAAAATGTCTACTATAACACATAAAGCTCTTAAGACAATTTGGTTTTATAAGAAAACATGGTAAATAACCAGTTTACCAAATACAAGTAACAATATCAAAAAGTTGCTTGTTTACTCAAAACCAGAGGTTCTTATGATCACCTCTGAAAGTTTTTAGTGGTTTTTCACAGATGATAAGATTTTTAGGTGCTTACAAAAATAATTTCACATTTTACTATTATAGTCATGAAAATACCAAGAGAAGGTGAGCATTTCAGTGACATATTTGAAAGATGTTTTCTTTTCAGAAGAAAAAAAATTAAATGCAACCTTTTACATAATATTTCCCTAGGTTGTCTAATACTGAACACCTAAACCCCAACACAGTCAGAGTTATTTTAATACTGGCCTACTCCTAAAAACAAGCAGTCAGATGAGTATGGTAATTCCTTTAACACTGGTTACTTGACAGATTTCAAGTACTTCCCAGCAATTATACACAAATTCATTGAGTATTTCTTTCCTTGCTGAAGAAAATCAACATTAACATTAACAAAATAGCAGCAGTGCACACTCATAGAGTCCTTAGGATTTGCTGGGGTGAAAGTCATGTCAAGCACACCAGATTCATTCAGTTAATCTAGAATATTCTGATCACTTCCACAATTGCACCCAGTCAAAATGTAAAGAACAATAAATTAATACATCTATGGTATAAATTATTTCATAATATCATGGGTTTGACCGCAGGTGTGTTTGGCAAAAGACCAAGACCTCTCTGTGCTGTATAAGCACCTGTCTTTCCCTTTAAATTGAGTCAACTGGCAGCTTTTAAAGCTCCTCATCTCTTTAATCTTTATTGCACCAGACAGCAGTTGGAGACAGTAACTATTTATGAATCTCTAATTCCACTTAATCAGTCTAGCTGATCAATGATGGCAAGCAAAGAGAAAAAAAAAAATGACAGAAAATGAAGCGACTGGAACAATACACTCTTTTAAGTAATACTATTTCGCAGCTACTGTCAAAAATACTCTTAAATTAATATGAAAGAAGAAAGAATTGGGTAGGGTCAATGTAGTACTTTTTTAACAGCTGCACTCTTCAGAATGTAATAATATAAAAGAATCCTCATAAATCATAACATCAGCTTTCCATGGCACTGACTACATGAAGCTGTGGAAAACTACAGAACTTCATAAACATACTAGGGCTGCATATCATCACCTACATGTTACTCAATGCAAGAGAAAGAAGTTCATAGAATTCTTTCAAAAAATCTCACTGAAGAACCTGATTTTTTTTTTTCTTGGCAAAAAAAAAACAACACCTCTCAGTCACAAGTTTAACTCATTCCGCAAAAAGGAGGTATCAGCTATGACCTGGCTTGATGAATTTACTTATTTTTCAGGGATCAATGCAATCATGGTTACTAAAAGTCCCAATTCACCGCTCTAAGAAAACCTGTTGTGTTGGCAGAAGCAGCTACTGCTTCTTCACCTGCTCAATGGGGATGACCACCTCAACACTACATAAAGAAGAGCCAACTGAATCCACCCCTCAGTCAACAGCTGCCTATCCTAGTGTATTAACGTAAATCACCACTCACTGAGTTTATGTTAATGCACTGGGTTTTGGCAACCGATTACCTGTGCCTCCGCCACACCCATCCTGCAGGCCATGCCACCACCAGCAGAGAAGCTGTGCCAACTGCTGTAGGCAGGAAGAGCGCCAGCTGCTTGAGTTAATTACCACCTGAGAACGAGTCAGCCCACCTGTATTTAGCACAACCCTGAATTTCTTCTCATTCCATAAAAGTGATTGAGCACCTTTTATAACATGTAATCCTTCTTAAAGCTAAAGAATGCTGCAAAACTGTACCTCGGGCAATAACTTTACCTGTTTCACCAACTTAAAAAGCTTGCCTGTAATGTCTATTTAATACACCATTAAGCTCAAAACAGCATTAAAAGATTCAGAAGCTGTTTAGTCTACATGTTTGGGGAAGAACATGACAGATATTTGACTTTTCTGTATCTCGGACAGCTTTGTCAAACACCCATGTGAGTGGATACAGTAACGATTGTAATAAGTCATCTAAAGTTTGTCATAAAAAGTACTTCAGTCTTTAGTACTTAAGAGAACAAAAATTTCCCCAAAGTCAGATCAAAAGCATGCTGAGATGCCAGTGCAATATGACTTATTGCTCTTTTTTTTTTATTTCACTGTATAAAAAAAAAGAAGCTTAATCTTGTACTCAGTAATATTTATTAAGACTAGAGGTCAACCCAGCTTGCTGCCCCCTTTTTGGCTTTGCATAGAGATGTATATTGACTGTGTCTTCAGGCACTTCCTATCTAACAGCAAGAAACATAAGGGTAGAGAAGAAGTAGTGAACAAAAAGTGTTTTGAACCTCTTCACAGATCAGTTTTATTTGCCCTGATCAACTAGCTGCATAAATATTTGCTGTAATAGATATTAATGCTTTGGTAGAAGAATCATAAACACTAATATCTTAACATTGTATTCTTATTCTCACATCTGCAGCTAACGGGTACAAATGAGTATGAGTAATTATGAAATTTCAAACTACCAACTGTTTCAGCTGTACTAAGAAACAGTACTTCAATAAGTAACCATTCTCAAAATCAGGTTAAATAAACAAGACATGTTGACAAATAATTATAGATTTAGACTGCAACAAATCAAATTATTCTGATGTGAAAAGGGATCCAGCTGTAAAGTTTTAGGCAGTTTTCCACACAAGCTTCCAATAAGTAAAATAGAGAACCCTAATAGAAAGGGGTGGTTATAAAGATGCCTGGAATATTATATGAAGTGAAGACAGAGAAGACGCTCTTTAAACTTGCAGTATGAAAAAACAGCATGAAGACAAGCCTGGAACTGATAATAACTTTAAAAGGTAAGAGATCTGAAAAGGGAAACACAGAATTTTTTGGTGTTCTGAGACACCACATGCAAAGCATGGCACATGATGGAACCAGTGGTGGGGTATCAGTGCTGTGGAAAGAATTCTGGCTTTTCTCACTGAAGAATTTGGAGTCACATCCCAATAGACCACAAGTCAAATGTGGCAGCTGTTGAGAAACAGGGAGGCATCATGCTTAGGTACCCAAGTGGAAAGAGAGACTACAGGATCTATGAATTAACTCTAGCACTGGCTTAGCAGAGGTAGTGGTCCTTCTGAACAAACATGCTCTAGTTTTAGGTCCTCAATTTCAAGGAAGATGTGGACTAGCTGGAAAGAATCCCAAAGAGAATAACTATGTGATCAAAGGCCTAAAAAACACAATTTACCAGGAAAGATTAAATTAATTAGGTGTTTTCTATTCTAAAAGAAAAAGAAACTGAGACTGGACATAATAACAGTCTCAAAGTATGTAATAGATACCTTTGAAAAAGAAAGAGGAATAATTTATTTTCTATGGCCATGGTGAGCAGGAAAAGCTAAAGTTGCAGCAAGAAATATCTGGTTTAGCTATGACCAAAAATACTGCCTCAACTTCCTACATTTCTTATTTTAAGGACAGTGAAGCAATACATTTCCTAACAAGCCACGAAGTATTCATTTTTTGCGGGTTTTAGAAACAAATTGGACAAGCATGTATCAGCAGTAACTTAGGTATAGCTGTTTGTCTTAAGAATACATTAGACACCTTTCTGAGATCCTTTCACAGTTCTATGTGACAACGGTAATCAGAACATCTCTCATTCATTTCTGATATATGAACATTTAAGAGTATTTCAAACACGCTTTTTCATCACTGCCCTTCTGGGATGAGCTTCCCATGAACTGCTGCAAGAAGTAATGTATTACACTCCTTGAAAATATCCTTAATGTTTCAAAGGCTCAATCACACTTCACTTGCTAGTGTACTAATGCTGTTATCTGAGACATTTTCAGATCTTGCCACCTGAATTTCTACATATATGACTGCATCCACTTGCTGTTTCATTAAATGTGTTATGTTTTGACTCTGTGCTCTTTGGGGCAAGGTTTATAATTTAGTTTTTAATTTGAACAGTGCTAAGTACAATAAAGTCTCCCTCATCTGTGAACGTTAGCTGCCATGGTACTGGAAACAATAATGACACAATGTGCTAACAAACCAACACAGCAGGGTGCTATGGGAAAGAACCAAGATTAATTTCAATACGACTGGCCATGCAGCAGAAAGTGTTTGCAGATGGTTTGGTGTCACTTTTGTCTGGGCTCTTTCCATGGAAAATCCTGCATCAGCACTGTATGCCGATGTTTAGTGCACAATGGCTCCTATTCACCCAGAGAAGATACATTCTTATTTATCTGGCTCTTTGTGAAATGGCTTATGGATTCAGGACCCCCCAAAAAGTCATTCAACTGACCTTTCTGTTTAGCCTGATTTTTTTTTTCATCACTGGTAGACTATTCATATAGCCACATTCTACTTTGTTTTTATTTCTAACTTGTTACAGCCTTTGTAAATTATTTGTAATTTGTGAAGTACCCATGAATAAAACAACATCAACTGTAAAAGATAATGGTGACTTTGAAAGTAGACACCGAGTATTGGTTATAAGCCAGCCTTCACCCTAAAGTGACTTGATTGCATGACGCATCAACCAGCCTAAGGAACAATGCTTTGGCTGGAGAGATTTTCCATCATTTGACTTTGGGCACTTTGAAGCTGTTTACTTTTCACAAAACCAAGACCTCTGTAGATATCCCCATACTTCTCTTTCTAAAGTGCCTGAGACCACTTACATCTTTCACATTCCATTTAAATTCACATTGCTTTCTACCTCTGTGAGTGAAAGGGAACCATCACAATTATTCTCTACTTTCCATTTCTACCAAAATCCCATATCTACCAGAATCACTGTATCTAGAAATAGACAAAAGAGGTGTAACGTCAGAAAGTTGCTATTCGCACTGAACCTACAGCCAAGCAGAACACGTATCATTTAAATGCAGTAACTATTCATTTGCCTGTGAAATACATATTCACTTTTAACTTCAAAGCTGACAAACATGCCAAAATGTTGAAAGCACGTATGTTACCATACATACACACTTACCCACACGGTCTGTATGTAAATACAATATAACTTTCTTCATCGCTTCGTTCAATAAACGTAACACACGTGTACTTTTCCCAGTGCCGCATAGCCTGTTTGAACATGGCGCGCTGGGTGCCTAGAAGAATAATTGTATGAGATAAGAGACTTTTCTAACTGTGTCTTGTTCCTTAAAATCAGATTTCAATACTAGAAATATAAGCCTGGAAGAAGGCACTGGATCATGAAGGCCTGTGTCCCAGCAGTCCCATGCACTGCCAGATTACAATTAAAGGGATACCAGACCATCAGCTTGTCATAATGTATCTGCTTCCAAGGGGACCAAAACTACCTGACACACTCTAGGAAACATAAAAACTCTAATTAAAAGCACATTTATGTTACACCAGAGGAAGACAGCACAATACAGTGTTGCTTATGTGCTTGTATTAGCATATTTGCTAAGCAATTTCCTAGATGAAATTATGAAGTGGGCCACTTGAAAAAAAAAAAAGAAAGAAAAGGAAAATAATTGAGGATCTCTGGATCCTGACTATCTAGCTAGAAGATAAAAAAAAAAATAAAAAATGCAATCTGGAGACCAGTTTAACCTAAGCCATGCAAACAGGCACACCAGACAAGTCATTTGATTTAAATAACACTGTCTTGACCAAGGACCACCCTGCACTTCTTTACATCAAGGTCCTTCAGAAATCAACTGATCCACCAAAAGGTGTAAATTAATTTGGTACAATACTAAGCATACCTAGATATTGTTTTAAAAAATGAGAAACACATTCAGAAACAATCAAAAATACATGCTAGATCCAGAAGCAGGCAGGCCAGCTCTCACCATAAAACACAAAGCCAGTAATTATACAGTACTTCAGATAGTATAGGAATGTAATTTCATTGAGTAACAAAAGACAAGGCTTATTAACATAGAGGCAGCACCTGAGAATATAGCTGTATTGCTTGTGAGCTGGAAATACACAAGCTTTACAATTTGGCATGAATATGCTAGCAGAAATGCATCCACCTTGCAAGCTTTGCATGTTACAAAAGATGCATGTTACAACACACTATAATTAAAACAAACACACTTTTTTAAACTGAAAAAAAAAACAAAACCTCTAAGTGCATAAAACTAGCAAGTTCAAATCATATCAGATCCTAAAAATTAAAGGTTATTTCATCCCATCTTGCCCTTTTCTTTTATCTTTAAGCAATGTTTTCCACGCTTTAGAATTTATCTTTCATTATGAAAAAGGTAAAATGTTTGATATGATACGCTTCATTTAGTTTCCTACCACTATTTCAGAAGATGGTAATCCTAATGCAAAGGTCACATTTGGTATAGTACTATGTAAATACCCAAAATAAAAGTCTGAATGTAGCTGTCAGTTTGAAATGAATGACACTGGTTTCTCCATATACACAGGCATTCAGTGTGTGAGCATTACACGTTTCTTTTGATTTCCTTTATTACTGCACTCAGTAAATATTATTATTTATCTTTTCCCAGCCATCTTTGCTTCTCTCCCTCCTTTTTTGTTTTAAGTTAACTCTTACATCCACATTGATATTGATCCATTTACATTTTTCAGGGTTAACAAATGTTTTAAACTTTTTCTACAGTTTTCTGCTAAGGACTACATTTATTTTGCAGTCAGTCTTTGTTCTTGTCATATATAATGTCTGTGTGTACCCATCTGAAAACCAAAGCGAGGAATAACAAAATACATTTGAGTCAGTTTGTTGAGTGAAATCATTCTAGCAGAACACGTCACACAAGTTAAATTAGTTATATTCTTGTGCTAAATATCCTGCACTTGTTAAAAAACAGATTTCATGACATTCTGTTACTTAGGCTCTTGAAAACAAACATGCTATGAGAAATATTAGGCAAAGAAAAAGAGCCTTCCCGTTCTGAAACATAGTTATACATTTTTATTATGTAGCTTGCCTTTGGGAACAACTTTTTGAAGTATGACTAATATGTTCAGAACAGATGTATTTCAGGCCTGATCCAACAGGAACCCTTCTACTGACTTCCACAGCATGACTTTACCAAAAAATCATTAACAAAAAAAAAAGAAAAAGAAAAAAAGGCAATTAAAAAAAAAAATCATATTCTTTCTTCCCATCCAAAGCACAAAGCTTACCAGTGAAATTTCCACCTATTACATATGGAATGACACCCCCTGGCCATATTCTTTCTGTTCGTGATGTAGCAGCTCTGGGAAATCTGCTTTTCTCATTTTTCCCTGAGAATTTTACAGTAGTTCTTCCTTTAGATGTATTATTTTGCTCAAAGCCTGTAATGATAATTAAAACACTGAATGAGATCATAGACACAAGAAAAAAGGAACAGTTATTATCCAGAAGGTTAAAGTCAGATTATTTCTTTATGCCCTTTAAAAGTAGGAGACTGCTGTTATGCAACAGCCTATCATTACTTGGTTTTCTGAGACATGCTCAAAATGAAGAGCCTAAGTCTTTTTGTTTTCTCCAACATACCTACAGTAACTATTTGCATCTACATTTAACCACTTGAAGGTATATTACATAATTTCATCTAAATTTTCTTATTTAATAATAGGGTTTTTTTGTTTGTGGGTTTTTTTTTGTTTTGTGCTTTGTTAATCACACTCCCTGTGTTAGGCTTGGTTTGTTTGTTTAGGGTTTTTTTATGTTTTTAATTTGGGTTTTTTCAGCAAAGGAGGAAAGACTTTGGTCAGAACCAAAATAATCAAGGCATTCGCTGTCTCCATTTTTATTGCAAGATCTGGAAAAAGCAAGTGTGTGATCACCCTTAAAGCACTTGACAGAAAGAATTTCTTAAAGTAGCAGACAGGCTTTTATTGTCAGGAATTACAAGCAAAAAGAATCTCAATTATTTGCAAAGTTGTATACATACAGAAAAAGTCAGAGGGTCATTTCTTTCTCCAAGTTCCAGCATCTGAAGCTATTACCTCTAGATACATTTTCAGATGAAAGACTTTCGTTTTACAACACTACAGGATGCAAATACAATTTTTTCATAAATGAGCTTTGGGAATGCTATGAATAACTATTTTACTCATGGCTGGAATTTCTTCACAAGACTAAATTATGTCTTCTATTTTCAGAGGTGTTACCATCATTCATCCCATTACAAATCTTTCTCAAATCTGCTGAAACTTAACTGTGACAAAGAAAGGATGAGGATAGTGAGACAAGGATTTGTACACCACAACAGGTGTTTCTTCTAAAGCAATTCAGAAGGGCAGCTGATTAAAACAGATCACTTGAAAGCCAATCAACAAATCCTACTCAGTGGGGTTCAAGTCTTATTCCTCATTGAAGAATACACCTTCCCTCTATGAGTATTCCCTGTGATAGCAGCTCTTCCTAACTGTTAATGGCTATGTCAGAACGAAGGAGGATTCCAGGCAGGGTCATGGTATGGTATCCTGGCATAGCCTCAGGGCTGGGAGAGTAGAAAAAGGAAGAAAGGGAAGAAGCTACAGAAGAAGGCAGGGAGAAAGCTCTTGGTACACAGAAGGAAAGTCTGCCTTCGTAACAGCTAACACATAAGTTATTACAGGAATGATATTGAACATTTCAGGGTTTAAATAAAACTCAGGTAAAGCAAATAACTTACCCTTGTCATTAAATAAGTATGTCAATGAGAATTACACAACAGTCTACAACACAAGTAAAAACTTCAGAGAACTATTCTTACACTTAATATACAGTCATTACTGAACTGTATAACATGTTAATATATATGTTTTACTGTTCAAAATTTTTTTTTTTAAACTAGAAGAAATGTATGCCAAATTGCATGCAAAAGATGACAAGTATTTATACAATACTAAAATTGCAATTATCTTAAAAAGAATGAAGATTCTATACCAGAGCACATATACAAAGTCAGTTACTGTGCTCTGGCTAATCTTGCAAAATATGCACTGATGCATTTAGGCATAATGTGGTGTGATTATAATGGAGTTCCATAGTTTTTCCTATTTGAGGTTGAAGTTTCATGACATTGAAGTGATATCTCCTCGCATCAAATATGGTGAGTAAATTCAGCCAGTATTACTGGGGATCCCACTTATATAGGCAGCTGAATTCAGCTGCGTTCATACTAACAAGTTTATGACTAGTATAAAAATGTGTTTGTCCACCGCCATAAATGCTTCAAACACAATCTGAATTATCAGAATGCCTCAACTGGGTCCAGGAAAAATACTGATAAAATTAGCAGCTATGCAGCATAGCCTACCTGTGCTGAAAAGACATTGTACTGATATCAGTAGAACTGATAACTATGAACACAGCTACTGAAAAAGGCTAAGTAATTTTTGAGATTTAAAACTGCATATTTTAGCTTCCAGATTTGATGCTGGAAATAAATCTCTAAGAAACTGCAACAAAGAGCTAATCATTATTATTCCTGTACTATTTATCTTATAGTTTGTTTATGCCAATAGTAATACGGCTTTAAAGTGTTAAAGTACTATCATCATTAATGTTCATGATACGTTATCACATCAGGCAAACTGCTAATTTAAACAGTGACAATACCAGAGCCAAATCTTCTTATCCTGTCTATAAGCTGATAGAGGGCACCTCTTTTTTTTGACTTTCCATGCTCTCCAAAGCCACCTTTAAAAAGAAAAGGAAAAAACAAAAAGCATTTTACAAAAGTTAAAATGATGGAATCTTACACCTACATCACCTATATAGCCTGGAGAGATTAGAAAGTACCCCATAAAAACTTCGATGTATCTTAAAGGAAGTTTAACATTCTTCAATGATTCACATACAAATTCTTCTTGACAATGAAATAAAGATACATTTTTAGCTGAAAACTTTCTAATATGCATTCCAGAATGTAAGCCAACACATCTTTGCTATTCAGACTAGTCATGACAATTACATCATCTAATTATTATTTGGAGCTTTTTTCTTCCTGGTGACCTTGACATCCTCAGAGCTATATTGATTGACAGCTAAAAGGCTTACTCTCACAGAAATTTCCTGAATGCATGCCATAATCTTCTCATTTCAAGGGAGGTGAAAGAGGGAAAGCAAACACCCAAAATTTCATCTGAAAAAAAACAACAAAACTGAAACAAGCTTAATATGGCTGATTTTGTCATGAAAGCTTTAGTTTTCTTTCTTTGCAAAGAGATGTCAATGTATTCTAAAGGCTTTGAAACATTACATGCTGGTGTATATTGCAGTAAGACGTTGTAGGCATATATATGTCTGTCATTTCAGCCATCAATAAGCAAGAAAAACTAAGCTACTGAACATCTACCATGCCATTTACAGAAATGCAACACATCCCTAGGTTTACTGCATACATTTGATGCATCCGCCACATAGCCCCTTCACAGAAAATCCTTTTGTGGCTGCAAGTGATTTTGTAAACACCAGCAAAACAGAAGAAAGGATAATGCTGCACTAGTCAATAAATCATTCCGAATTGTTCAGAAAGTTTTGTGATTTTATGAAGTTTGTAATAGGCTGTATTCACTATCTGTTACAGGACAAGAGATTTTTCAGGCTACTTTACAACAGCAAAAGTAAAATGATAGAAATTAAAGGACCATTGAAACCTGCAACTGCCACTAAAAAGACCTTTCCCAACTTCCCATAAAAGCTGCCAATATATATATATATATCGAGAATATATTTATCAAACAGCAACTAGAAATTATATTACAGATGAGAAAATTCCATATAAGGCAAGTTAGTTAGTGTGGCTGCTCAGTGAATAACAATGTGCCTAATTATTTGGATTACACTGTCACATAGTTGCTTGGCTCCCTTGAGAAAAATTTTCCAAATTTTTTAAAGCATTTTATATAGATGAGGTAATAGTTCAACACATTCCTTGCCAACAAGTTACATGGTAACTATAATATACACCACAGAGTACATAACAATTCCATCCCTTGTATTGATCATCAATAACGCAATTGTCTCTCATTTTAACATTCATCTTATTAGAAAAGGCATATAGCTAAAGATTCCAAATTAATTCTAAAATATCCCTAAAAGCATCAATTGTCAGATGTAATAGAAAAAAAAAAGACAAAGAATCCATTATTTACTTAAAGAAACTATTGCCTTATAATTATTTCTAGAAAAAATTATTAAACTAGCATTACTGTGTTAAAACAGCCTGCGTAGTCTATTTAGTGAAAAACTAAAGAAAAAAAAGTATCCCACATAACTAATCTTTCTTATATGAATAATATGCAGCCTTGCCAAAACACAGTCTAAAAAAAAATTTTTAAGCAAAATCAATCACATTTGCTGCATCTTCTCACAGTTCAGGCAGGAAAAAGAGGATACTTTTGGCAGTTTGGAATGATAATACACACAAGAATCTTATCAGCTTTATTGTTGTGTCTGTTTACAGTGATTATGCCTATTGCTCAGAAGAAAGGACAAATAAAATGACAGAGCCACACTCTGAGAAGCTTACAGACTAAGTATCTGACCCTGCAGATCTAGGCAGATAATCCTCACCAAACGGAGTGTCAGCTAATGTGAATCAGAACCTGATAGCGTCAGGATTTTAATTAGTAGTTGCAATGAAAAATGCAACTCTGTAGCTTCATCCTGATGGTTTACACCCAAGCATCTAACTCTTCTACCTGGTGTCACCTGTACTTTGTGAAGGTCAACAAGAGAAACTGTTAAGAAATCAAGCTTGTACTTAATTGTCATTGTGTCTGTAACTTAGGTAAAATATTAATTTATCTTCTATTTTACAGACATTTTATGTCTATACCTAATATTAACTAGTCAGTTGTTGACAATTTAGTCTCTTGGAAGTTAAAAGGAAAAAAGCACCCTAGGCTGTGCAGTTTGCAAAACCCAGCTAAATTCCTTGTTAATGCAACAAAATGACATAAATTTAGAAAAATAATTACATATATAAAGTGCAAAATTGAGGTCTCGAATCCTGTTTTTAGAAAAATCAAGACCGTTGAGGGTTCACTGAATGCTATTACAAAATTATTAATTTCAGCAGAGTTTGTTCTACAAAGTCGAGTCCCAGTGACCACTGCAGTTGCATTGATTCTCCTTGTGCAATAAAGGTAGAAAAATTTGATCCAACTGCATTAGTAATCCTTAATAGGGTGACTCAATATCCTGAATGGGATACTGTCTACAGGAAAAATAATTCACAAATCTCAGACAGGTAAGGAAAGAATATAAAATAACAGAATATTAAATATTCTTTAGAAACAGCTTAAAAATGTATATTCTTTCAGTTGCAACTGACAAAGAAATAACTGTGCAGTTAAAAAGAATAAAAAATATAGAAAAGCAAGAAGGAAAAAGAAAGTCAGCAGGCCAAAGAAATCACTTGACTGCATCCATTTTAAGGGGAAATGACCAACCTTGCTCTCTACATTTTGTCAGCAAAACTAGTGCCTGAAATATCTTTGAAGCCAATTAAAGCTATTTTTGGGGGGGAAAGTGAGGCAGGGAAACCACTGACTCCATTAACATTTTTCAATCCAGTCCTGACCTAGGAATGATCAAAGGTGTTCCTGCCTTGAAAACACAATTGGCTTGAAAATTTATTTTATCTCCCTTTAAAGTTGTTATAAAAAATAGTCTAATCATGACTTCTAACTAGGAAGAGTAAAAATATTTTAAATATATCGATATTGAATGGTTAACATTTTTTTTTCCTTTGTTCTCAAAAATTCCTTTCTGCTTATTCCTCAAGGTGATCCCATTTCCACATATCAGGAATCAAGTTAATAGTACTTCAGGAACACATAAAACATGCTTAATAGAAAATAAATTTCAATTATGCATTTAAACATCTAATGGCATTTTTGCCCAAACTTTTCGTAAGTAACTTGGCTTTTCCAGAACCATAAGCTGAAAGTTTACCAGTTATGAATGTACAAATCAGTGACACAAATCAGATATTTGTTTTTTAGACAAGGCAAATTCTAGCAAGAATGACGTTATTGTGTTGCTTCTAAATCTGGGTACAGGTCTGAATGGAGCTGAAAAAATAGCTAAAGGAAGAGTTGTAATCCAAGATTCTCAGGATCGCCTCCAGGAATTCACATATGCTCTCTATAGGGCACTCAGGCACTGTGATCGGGAACTTTTAGCAATGAAAGCAAAGCTTTGTACAATTTCCTTTCCCACACAAACACCTGCAGAGAGGAGTGGCCTTATGGTTCCTACCAGCTTCTGCTCTTCAGTTCAATGTGATATTATTAATCAGAAATGCAAGAATAAAATCAAAATTTTAGCTTCTTTCTTTCCCCATAAAGCAAAAATATATTCTCTTTAAAGTAAAAACTAGTACCCAAAACATTATACTGACTTTCTACATTTAAAAGAGAGATTGCTTTCTATGCAGAAGTAAGTATCAGGAAAAACAAGTTAAAACAAGCTTGAAATATCATACCTGTGTTATGGCCAAGTCTTTCGTTGGAGTGCTGCGTAAGATCAATCGTCCTGTCAATTTGAAAGATTTTTAAGTCTTCATCATCTAAGGCAATATCTCCCCAAAAGACAGCTTTAAATAAAAAAGAGCTCAATTTAATTAAAGAATTTATTTAGACAATAAAACTAATCTGAAGACTATAATGCCATGTTGGGAAAATGTACAAAAATTATATATTAGTATCACGTATATTTGCTTACTGATCTGTATTTTTACACAAAGAAATAAAACTACCCAGCAAAAGACAAATGATTGGTTTTGGTATTCACCTAAACTCTTACAGCCTTTTTAGTTTCTTTACACATTGCCTGGATGCAATTATTTAAATGTAATGTCGATCTCATGAAAAAATTGCAGCATGTGTTGTTTTCTGTAAGTAAATATAACAAAGCATAAAAGACACTGAAATATGTTAAGATTTGAACTATGATCAAATACATATAAGAGCTGAGAAAACATAAACTTTGTATTTTCTAATATCTTCCTGAAAATGAGAATTATTTGAACTAACTTTTATTATGTTGTAATTACATTATTCCTGCCTCAGAGAATTAATACTTTCATCTGTTTTCTGTTAAACTGAGTGAAAAAAAAAAATAAAAAATCATTTTCCTCTTGGCTTATTTATATGCTTTCAGTTTTTATAGTTAATCTCACTACTAGGATTCTTTCACATACTTTGCTTTTCCAGGCTCCTATCTCTCTTCTTTCTAACCTTTCTTTGGCCTTTGGATTTCTTCCTATCTCTTTTCCTGTTCTTTCAGGCTCCCTCAGGATTTTTCTGTTCAACTTCTGCACAGCTAACTCATCTTCCCTAAACTGCCATCACAACTCAATGAACCAAGATACCGGCCCACTTGCAAGAATTCAGGATCTACAATCTGAGTTTTTCATCTCTGCTGAGATTTTATTCTGAGATCTTCCTGCCAACTCAAACTTATCATTAAAGCTGAACTCAATAGGCCACATCCTCAACCACTGTGAATGAAGTCAACAGAGCATATAGCAATTAACATGAGCTGAAGTGGTTGTTTATTATCTTTATCCAAATTCGTCCTTTTCCCTCTCCTCTTGCTTCGATCAATAGCTCTATTATTTGCCCCCTCAGAGTCACAAAGCCACTGGGTTCAATCTTGGTATCATCTTCAACTCTTTCGCTTTTTTTCTCCCACCCAGGAAGACATCACTAACTTTACCTGGTTGTTCATTATACAGTTCCACAGCCAACTGCTTTCATAGTTTCCATACAACTAAAACCTTGTCCAGAGTCCAGCTGTTACCAAATCATTCTCTCTGGTCTACTTCCATTCAAACTGAACTTAACTGGTATTCTATATCTCACCCTGTTCTTCATATGATGTTGTAAACAACATTCATCAGATAATATTCTCAGTAGTTTCATGTTGCTGCATTCATTAGTATTTAATCAAATCCGTATTAAAAAAAAATAGCCACTTAAGCAAAAATGTTTCTGAAGAACTCCCTGATATTAAATTATTTCCTATCTCCATTACTCTTCTTGAATGCCAGGCACCCAAGAGAAATCACATTGAAAATGCCTTTGGTCTACCATGTAAAATAACACACACACAAAAAAAAAAAAAATAGATCACCTATGGAGTTCCAAAGCGTAAATGAAACTTTTCAATTAAAAACATATCTAACATCTGATGTCTTCCCTAAATACAGATATTTCCATGTATGTAATTTTTACACAAAAAGATAATGTTTCTTAGAAACCACAAGTATTTGAGACCATTTCTGAAACTGTTCAGTCACTACTAACAGTTCTGAACACTTTGCTTCCAAGGGTCACTATTTTCTTATATTCACATTGGATGCATTAGGGACATCTTTCCTCTGGCTAGTCTGCTCTTACCAGTGATGGGTTTTACCACCAGGCAGCGAGACAGAGCTAGGAGCAGCTCTAGATGTTTTTTCTTCCTTTAAGCTTCTAGGAAAAAGATGGCAAATTGTCAGGGTTTTGGACAGTGAGGGGAGAAAGTCAGTAGTCTCTATCTGACTAGAGTCAAATATTATTTATTATTACTATTATAAACACCTTCTAGAGATTTCCCTTAGATGTCTTTCATAACAGGGGCCACTGTATAAGCACAATGAAATATTGCAAACTTTAATAAACAGAACATAAAATGGTAAGAGGAAGAAACTATTAACATTTCAATCTACAAAGACATGATGTGCCCCAGCAGAGGTCACACACCAGACTTGAGGAAGTGCTAAAGCTTAATAGCAAGCCCATTTTTCTTTCCTGGTAATACTGAGAATTAACAAAAGGAAGGTTCTGAACTAACAATAGATGACGCGAGAAATCACTCACTGACAGAAATGCATTAGCAGAAATTACTTCGGTTTCAGGGTGTAATACTGATGTATAAATATGAAATCCCAAGGCAAATCACACTTCAGAAAAACAATAAAGTAGAAAAAAATTGCGGAAAATATCCCCCTTAGTCTTGATGATGCAACTATATTGCTTCACTGTGGTAACATTCACTTTGCCATGAAAATGCAAATAGCAAAGACTATTTGTGACTGAACATGTTTGACACAAATGCATTGAATTTATTTGCACGTATATAAAATATGATGTCCAAGCAAGGGATAGTAACTTTTTCTGTTGGGCTAAAAAGGAAAACAAAGCTATGATATTTCTGTTAAACATCTGGACTGCTAGCTAGTTTTTGATTAGCAACCAAGCACAAGGTTAAGTTTAACAATATATAACCATGGCAATATAACAATAAGTGCTGATGCAAGTCTGACGTAGTTGTAAACAAGTAATTTGTGTGACCAACAGGAGGTAGGTTCTCTCATGTATTAACTAAATATGAGTTAACGCTGAAGAAATAAATATATATGACTGTTTGTTTAAAAGTATAATGGAAGACTTGAAGCTTAATTCAAGCTGCTTTTTTTGACACAAGGAAGTTCTGTTTTGCAGAAAAACACAAACACACAGAGGACAAACATGAAGAAAGGCAGAAACCCTGGCAGAATTAACTCATTTGACTTTAGCAACAATTTAATAATTGCCAGTTTACTTTTACTGAAATGCATGTGGTTTTCTGAATTTATTTTAGTTCAACAGGGTAGGTATATACCTAGCAAAAGAAATAACAGTTAACTGGATGCTATTTAATTTCAATATAGTCCAAACAATCAGCAATTGAGACAAAAAGGGAACTGATCACTCCTTTTAAAAAAAAAATATGCATTTTTTCCAATGAAAGGACTGCATAGAATCTAAATTCTGCCCTTCAAAGCCCGAGACACAACCCCCACCTGAATTATCAGAAAATCCGCAAATCAAAACAAAACAAACAAAAGGTATCTCCAACAACTGTTAAAAGTATCCTCTAATTTTTTTGAATGCCTGTGTGTTAAACTATTCTGTAACTAGAGGAGACGGTATTTTTATCTCCTGCCTTAAAATTTTTATGACCTGAAAGTATCTGAAGAAGTCACTCCATATACTTCATCATGTCACACACCAATCTTAACCTTACAGAAAACAAGCAGAGGGTTGTTTGGGTATGCAAGGCATGATGTTAAAGACTTTGTTAAGAGCATGTTAGGATTAAGAGCTTTATTAGCTCCCTCTAAGGAACTCCTGAACAGAACTGCCCTGATCAGCTCTGCACCTCCCTCGTTTTTCACAGATGTTTAATTCATAAGTTTCATCCAGCAAACTAACAAGAATCTGACAACCAATTCACTTAGCATGATTTTTTTTTTTTAAAAAAAGGGGGGGGATGGAAGGATTTTCAAAATCATCCAAGCAGAACTTTAACGTAACTTTACTTATTTCAGGTTGTTTCATATTATCTCTTATCCTATCTACCTATTTACTGATCAGGAAAACTTGATATGGCAGGCTGCTTTTCATTTTATTTGAAAATGCAAGATTGACAATCAGCTTCGGAAAAATCTGTGAAAATCTGAGACAGCATTAATTTCAGGGGAAAAGTATCTTTTACTACACACAGGTTATTAATAAAAAGTACATGGATTTTTTTTTTTGTCCAATACTTTAAAAACAGAGATAGAAGCTTTTATACCAAATTTCATACAACTTTTTTTTAATTTGGTTTATATTTTCATATGTTTTCTACGGCCATGACATTAGGCACAGTAGAAGTCTGTTTTTCTGTAACAATGGAGAAGGATTTATGTGGAGCTGTTAAAACAGAAAATACTCTTCACCAGTAGAGTAGACGCAGTTCTGCTTTCACACAACTCCAAGCCCTCAGCCAAACAACACTTTCAGAAAGGTCTGATTTTATTAAAAGCCTATAAAAAGGCAAAAGACTGCCACGCAAAGCAGCTAAGTTTGCTACATGTAAACAAAGAACTCACAAGCATGAAAACAGGAAAATCAGTAGGTTGTAAAAAATATCTGCCATCCAGAAAAACACACCTTAATATTACCACATAACTAATGTGATTGGGAAGGAAAAATAAGATTACCTATAAAATACAGACAAGCACAGGAACTACAGCTACATTTTACTGCTTGTGACAGGAACTATTATTTTTATCATCAATAATTAAGGTTCATCTGGAAAGTTCTCTCTGATAATCTACTGTCTTCCAACAAGAACATCGCCGTATCAAATATCCAGTATTATAAATGAATAAAATGTGCTACTAAGTATAGAATATAAAAATAAATAATGAAATAAAAAATAAAAATATGTGTAAACTATTTTAAGTGTATGGATGTATGAATCAGTTAGCATATACACAAGACAAAAAAAAATAGACCTTCATGACTTTCTAGCAGATGCTCAGAAGTACAGGGAACAAGAAAGAAATCATGTGGTTAAATCCATGGGGCTATGATATGCAGTAAGGCGTCTCATTCTGGGATTTGAAATATCAGCATGCAAGTCTGAAAATATATACAGGAGTATATTAATTATAATTGTGATAACAAAATTACCTACATCAAACTTCCTTCACATTTTGTCCTATAATAATAATTTTTAAAACTCAAATCATAAACAGCCATTTCAAAACAAAATATATTCCTGATAGCATTCATACTG